GGACGCCCTGCCGCCCGGACACGGTGGACATTTGTGTCAGCGGTGAATGCAAGGTACGGGGACCCCAGGATGGGGGGCAGGGTGGACAGGAGGGGTCCACCTCTGCCACCCTCTGTGCAGCACGTGGGCTGTGACCGGGTCCTGGGCTCCGACCTCCGGGAGGACAAGTGCCGAGTGTGTGGCGGTGATGGCAGCACCTGCGAAACCATCGAGGGGGTCTTCACTCCAGCCCTGATGGGAGCCGGTGAGAGCCCCCCACTTCCTCCCACAGTCCCCACTCAGGCTTGGAGCCTGGAGCTGGGCTGGTCCCCCCGATGGGAGCCAACATCAGTAGCAAGCTGCAGGGCCGCATGGCATCTGAGCTGGGGTTAGCATTAAGGTTTGGGTATCAGGGTCCCCCCAAAGTCCTGAGGGCACACAAATGCCCAGAGCAGGATGGGGAGAGTCACAAGCTGATGGGAGGGAGCCAAAAGCTTTGAGAAGCTGGAAGCACTGGGTTGTGGGACCCTCGGCAGGGGCCACTTAGGGACCTCCAGGAACAGGGTCCAAAAATGTGGGTTTCACCCCCAGAGGAGTCCCTTTGGGGCTCGTAGAGGGCAGCCAGACAGCGAGATTAGGGCAGGGACAGGAGGGTCCATGTGGATGCCTGGTGACTGTGGCCGTGGATGGTAGGCTGTCCCCAAAATGGGGACATGAGGAGAGACGCTAGTGCACTGAGGGTTGGAAGTGGGGATCCTTAGGCTTGGGGACACCTGACACCAACCCCTGAGGCTCTGTTGTGGACCTCTTTTGAGGGGTAGGAGGTCTGGCACCACTGGATGCAAAAACCCAGAAACAGGAAAAGGTGTTGCCCACAGACCCAAACTCGGGGGAGGGGGCACTCCATAATGCCACTTCTGTGCCCGGCCTAGCCCTGCTTCTCAGAGGCGGCATAGGGAGAGGTTACAGAAGCAGGAGAGTTTGTGTTTGAATAAAGCCCAGAGGGGAGAGCTCAGTGGTGAGTTTAGCATGGCGGAGGCCCTGAGTTCCACCCCCAGCATTGCAAGGAAACAAACACAGAAACAAAGCCACCTCAGCCCAGCGGCAGTCTAGCTGTAAAACCCAGGCATGCTGCAGGCCGTGTTTTTGTTTTTGTTTTGTTTTTTTGAGACCGGGTCTCTCTATGCAGTTCAGGCTGACCATGAACTCACTTTGTAGCCCAGGCTGGCCTCGAACTCAATGATCCTCCTGCCTCAGCCTCCCAAGTGCTGGGATTACAGGCGTGTGCCATCACGCCGTCATTGCAGGCGTTTTTGAGCCTCGGGTTTGTCATCTGTGAAATGGGGGTGGTGGCACAGGCACAGGCCGTGGGATGACCCTGTGAGCACTGAGCACATCGATGGTTAGCTGAGGTCACAAAGGGAGACAAGGGGGCAGGCGGGCCTGGGGGACAGGCTGAGCGGGTGACATTTGAGTTCTGCTCTCCAGGGTACGAGGATGTCGTGTGGATTCCCAAAGGCTCTGTGCACATTTTCATCCAGGACCTGAACCTGTCTCTCAGTCACCTGGGTAAGCAGAGGTGGGGGGTGAGGATCCCAGTAGGATGTGGAGGTATCATGTCAGCATCTGACCCCTGTGCTGTCCCCTAGCCCTGAAGGGGGACCAGGAGTCCTTGCTGCTCGAGGGACTGCCTGGGACCCCTCAACCTCACCGCCTGCCCCTGGCTGGGACCACCTTTCACCTGCGACAGGGACCAGACCAGACCCAAAGTCTGGAAGCCCTGGGACCCATTAACGCCTCACTCATCGTCATGGTAATGGCAGGACAGAGGCAAGAGGCAGCAGAAGCTTAGCTGGCCAGTGAGACCCCACTGCTGACTGCCCCCCGTGCCCCCAGGTGCTGGCCCGGACGGAGCAGCCTGCCCTCCGCTACCGCTTCAATGCACCCACTGCCCGGGACACGCTGCCCCCCTACTCCTGGCACTACACCCCCTGGACCAAGTGCTCAGCTCAGTGTGCCGGCGGTGAGGCCAGGGACTGGGGGGCCCGGAGCACCCAGGCTGCGGGACATGGGGCCGGACAGGGCTGAGCGGGCCTCTGCCCTCCCCCAGGCAGCCAGGTGCAGGTGGTGGAATGTCGCAATCAGCTGGACAGCTCAGCCGTGGCCCCCCACTACTGCAGTGCCCACAGCAAACTGCCCAAGAGGCAGCGCGCCTGCAACACAGAGCCCTGCCCGCCCGAGTGAGTGGCTACTGCTACTGTCAGATGGAATGCGGGGTGGGGGCGAGAACAGGCCGACAAGGAGTGCTCCCCACGCTCTGGAGTCCTCCCCAGTAGGGTATGGGAGCCGGGTTAGCACAGGATTACAGTGACAGTGGTTCAAGTGCCAGAGTGACTGCTCTTTAGAGTCAAGGTCATAGTGGTCCTCAAGGTGAGGTCAAAGCTGAATGAGCCTGTAACCCAGCAATAATCAGATGCATCTCCGGGCCCCCAGCCAGGTCGTAGGACTGTGAGGCTCCCAGGGCCAAGCCATCCCTGCAGGGAAACCAGCCTGCCTGGGGCCACTTTCCAAAGGACACACTGGTTTGGAGAGGGTCGGAGAGGCTTGGTACCACAAGCGCCCTGGGTCAGGTCCCCCCCTCCCCCGGGCCTGCAGAGTGGCTCAGGCCGTCCCTCTGTCCGCGCCCCAGCTGGGTTGTAGGAAACTGGTCCCGCTGCAGCCGCAGCTGTGACGCAGGCATGCGCAGCCGCTCCGTTGTGTGCCAGCGCCGTGTGTCGGAGGCGGAGGAGAAGGCGCTGGATGACAGCGCTTGCCCACAGCCACGCCCGCCGGTGTTGGAGGCCTGCCACGGCCCAGCCTGCCCTCCCGAGTGGGCGGCCCTGGACTGGTCTGAGGTGAGCGCCCTGGCTTCCTGCCCCAGACCCACGGAGCAGGGAGGGGTGGGGCATCATGCCAGCCCTAAGGGGACACCTTCCACCTCCCCAACTCGCCTCCTCTCCCGCTGGGCCTGCACCTCGGGCACCCAGCGCGAACCGCCTCTCCACCTGCAGTGCACCCCGAGCTGCGGGCCAGGCCTCCGCCACCGCGTGGTCCTCTGCAAGAGCGCAGATCACCGGGCCACCCTGCCCGCTGCCCACTGCCCGCCCGCAGCCAAGCCACCCGCCACCATGCGCTGCAACCTGCGCCGATGCCCTCCCGCACGCTGGGTGGCCAGCGAGTGGGGCGAGGTAGGTGGGCGCCCCGCTTCCCCGCGGGGGCCGGGGCAGGGTCAGGGGTGACAGGACCGCAGCTCAGTCTAGCGTCCCCGCAGTGTTCCGTGCAGTGTGGCCTTGGCCAGCAGCAGCGCTCCGTGCACTGCACCAGCCACACGGGGCAGCCGTCTCGAGAGTGCACCGAGGCCCTGCGGCCGCCAGCCACACAACAGTGTGAGGCCAAGTGTGACAGCACGCCGCCCGGGGACGGCCCCGAAGGTAGGGCAGTGGGCCAGGGCCAGCACCCCAGGCCCTGCCGATGGTCCATGCCCCTGAGAGCAACCGGCAGGGACTTTGGAAACCATCCACTGCAGCCCCAGCCTCTGTCCCTTCGTCAGAGTCTCTGCTGCCAGTTATGGCCACGAAAATGACTCCAGCCGGGGCCCGATGTGGGGGAGGGGACAATTTGGCTTCCCCAGAGAGCCATGATTTTTTATTTAGTAGTTATGCTGCTGGATTGAACCCAGGGCCTTCACAGGAAGCTGCACCCCCAGCCCCTTCTAAACGCTTTTATTCTGAGATAGGGTCTGAGGCACAAAGTTGTCCAGACTGACTTAGAACTTGGGAGCCCCCTGCCTCAGCCTCCCAGAGTACTGGTATTTACAGGTGGTACTCGCTTTACTAAAAAGAAATTGTGAACTCTGTAGCCCCAGAGGAATAGTCTCTCCTGGGTGATACCAGAGGGCCACCCAGGGCTTGTCTTGATAATGCGGGGGGGGGGGGGGGGGCCACACTCTCCCACTCCTCAAAGAGTCTAACGACATAGATACTGCTGTCAGCGCCCTTTAACACCCTTAGGCACCCTTGCTGGGAGGGGTGCTGAGTCCTGATTTCCCGCTCTTTTTCTCCCTTTCCTCCCCACCCCACCAGAATGCAAGGATGTGAACAAGGTCGCCTACTGCCCCCTGGTGCTCAAATTTCAGTTCTGCAGCCGATCCTACTTCCGCCAGATGTGCTGCAAAACCTGCCACGGCCGCTAGGGGGCGCGCGGTACCTGGAGCCGTTGCAGAGCGTGGACCGAGGGGGACCCCGCCCTAAGGGGGGCCAAGGTGGGCGGGAGCTCGGAGTGCAGGCTGAGAGGCAGGTGCAGGTGCGAGTTATTTATTGGGAGCCCCTGCAGGGCTCCTGGCTGGGGGATGGAGAGGGGCTGGCACACCCAGGACCCTCTTCAGCCTCGTGCCCATACGTAGTGAGACTCCCGCCATGGTGGGTCTGGGGACAGCTGTTGGCCCCAGAGCCCCTTCAGCCACCCTTTGATTGGAATCTACTGTGAAGAGGGGTGGGGAGGGGTCTGGCGGTGGCTTGCCCCCAGCACGGGCCTCCCGGGGCCCACTCGGAGCTGGGGGAGGGGCCATGTCTGCTGTGGGGGCGGGGAGGCTGAGCACCACCTCCCTGACACCCCAACCTCTGCCCAGCCTGCCCCAGGGGGACTCCAACATCCAGGCCGCCCCCATCATGGTGCTACAAGCCCTGCCCTGGGGCCCACACACTCCTCGCGAGTTAGCCCTCCATCAATAAAGTTGTGTCTCGTGTAGCTTTGCGTGTCGCGATGGTGTGTGTGTGTGTGCGCGCGCGCGCGCGTGTGTGTGCGCGCTCATTCCGAGTGCCGAGTGCCGGGGACCTGAAGCAGGCGGGGACTTGAGCCAGTGCAGATGTGAACTCAGTCATTTTAAGACAAAAGTGCAGCTTCTCCCAGAGGTTCCTACAACCACACCCCTCCTTCCCAACAAAGCCAGCTTCGCTGCCTGTTGATTCACATTTCTGAGAGGCTTTTTTCTTTTAATTTTTACAGTTTTATTAGTGTGTGTCTGTGGTGCACGCATCGTGGGGAGTTGACAGGTGTGCAAAACACACCTCAGTCCTTTTTAACTCCCCGCTGCCTTGGGCTCTCGCCTCTCCTCCCTCTCGGGATGCCCTTCGAATTGTAACAGGTCCTATCTCCATTCGCTATCGTCTTTTGTTTTCTCTCTCAGTTATTTATACTTTGGGTTTCTCCCATAAAAGGAACCATACGATATTCAAGCCTGCGTGTCTGGTTTATTTCCCTCCACGCTGTGATCCCGGGGTGCGCCCCTTCTCCTGGTTTATCCTTTTACAGCAGCACAGTGCTCCCCGGCCTGTAAATAGGTCTCCCCTACCCTTCAGCTGTCGGTGGACAGAGAGGCTGCTGTCGAGACTTAGCTGTTAGGAGGGTGCTGCTGTGTTGGACTCTCAGAAAATACCTCGAGGAGGAACAGCTCAGTCCAGTGGAAATCTAATTCCGCTTTAGGGAGGTGGGAGGGGCTCTCCCTGCTGATTTCCATCATGATTGTACCCGCTTACTCCCCACCCACACCCCCAACACACTGTTGACTATTGGAGACCGCTACAAAGCAGCTCTGAGCAGGATTTAAATTTTGCTAATTGGCGTTCTGTGTTTGTCTGTGAGTCTGTCCTAGGCTTTGGCCCCTGGCCTGGCGATGGGAGCTGATTCATAGTAAGTGAACCTCTGTGAATCACTGGTGCTGGCCGAGGCCTGAAGTGGCCTGTGAGGCCAGAGATACCTCAAAGGGCAACATAAGGCCACAGCTGCGGACACTCTGGCTCCAACCCAATTAACACGGTAGAGACTGCAGCTGCAAAGATTACTCCTACAGTCTCACTCCAACCATGCCTTCATGATAAGACAGTGCTACTGAATTGACTTGATTCATTACTTAGAGACGTCATTGAAGTGACTCCCAAGGTCCTGCTCATTGCCTGGGCTTTCCTCAGTTTCCCTGCCTTTGGTCCTTGATCCTAATAAAAGTGAACAGATCCAGAAAATTCTGTCTTAGCCCTTGCAGTCACAAACTTAAAGTGTTTTGACCCTCCTGGAGCCCTAAAAAGTCATACAGTTTATCTCTTTTTATGCCGTACACTCGTTTGGGAGATCGGGAATCTAGGCCAGGACCCAATAGTTGACTTTTTGCACAATTCAGCAAAAGTTGCTCAAGAAATCCGAGGCAGGAGCTTCCCCAGAAATGGCCACTAGGAGGCGCTGCATCTTTTTTTTTTTTTTTAAGCCTCCAAGAGGGTGTGCCTGCGCCAGACATCCCGGCGCTCAGGCCTGGACCAAACAGGGTCCTGGAGAACAGATCCCCGTGAGGCCCACCCAGGGTCCAGTGCTGCCACAACCGCCTTCCCCAGGATGCCGTGAGGAAATGACGACCTCTGCGAAGCCATTTCTTCAAATGTCATCAGAAGACAAGGGTGTGGCCTGCTCATGTGCTAAAGATAAAAACACAAGGAAACGAGGCAAGGTGATGCACGCCTGCCATCCCAGCACTTTGGGGAAGGCTGAGGCAGGAGAATCCCCAGGAGTTCGAGGGCAACCTCAGCTACACAGCACTCTCAAAATCCCCACCCTTAAAATGGGCTGGCACCTAGCACATTGCGCTGGCAAACCAGAGCCCCACCCCATCACCACCCCCCAGCACCCGCCCAGTCTGCAATCTAAAGATAGGATACCAATTCTCTGAGAGAGGTGGCAGACCTGGGGGTGCTGGTCCAGGGCTGACATCCTCAGCATTAGCAGAGGCGTGAGGAAGAGGGAGCTCCTTTCCTTGGAGAGGAACAGAAGCCCCAGCACCCCAAAGGCTTGTGACCCTGACCTTGCAAAGAGGTGGCAGGTCCTGCAGCCTCAGCTGCTGGGGGCTCTTGTCCCCCAGGGGATGGGTGGAGAAGGGGCGTCCTAGAGTTGGCTGGTGCTCTTTGGCCTCCTCCTGCAAGCTCAGAGGCCCAGCAGCCCCCCAGCGCTGCATCACCTCTGCTGGGGCTCTGCTGTCTCCCCGCCCTCCCCGCCCTCCCCGCGGCCACTCCCGTCAAAGGAAGTGAGAGGGAGCCGCTGAAGGAGGAACTGGGACCAGCAGGCAGCGAGGAGGCCGAGCAGGGTCATGCCCGAGCCGCCCCCGGGGGCCCTGTGAGAGTCACCTGGTGTTCCTGACAGTCGCCAGCCCCCACCATGGTGAGTCCCCCAGCAGGCTCGGGGCAGACATAGGGCCCTGGGTCGGGGCCCTGAAGACCACCCCTGGGGAGGGGCAACGGGAAGCACAGTGGGGAGCTCTCTGGAGGGCCCTCGGTGCTGCTGGGCAGCCCCTGGGTCCCTGACCAGGGTCCAAGCTGGCAGCTGAGGATGCAGGGTGACCATGGGGACCAGGAATGGTGCAGGTAGCAACAGCCGGCAGGTGGCCTGGAGGGGGCCACACAGAATCTGCCAGGACAGGACCTGAGCCTCTTCCTGGGGCTTGGGGACCTCTGAGACCCTCACCTCCTCATGTGGCGCCAAGCAAGTGGCCTCCCCTCTGTTGCCCTCGCCTTGTGGAGATGTCCTACCTGGGAGTCAGTCCGGATCGGGAAGCCGTCCTCGGGGGTCTTCTAGTTGGGACACACGGGGGTGGGGCATCCTGTGCCCATGGTGGGAGGGGGCTGCATGCAGACGGAGGGGCAGGGACCGTGGCTGTGTGTGCGGTGGCTGATTCGGCCGCAGCGGTCATGAGGCAGGAGGTGGGGTGGCCCAGCTCCTGCCATGACCCCAAGACCCCACGCTTGAGGTGCTGCTGATGGTGACACGGAGGGGCACACTGTAGCATCAGGCACCAACAGGCAAGTGGGGGGAGCCCAGGTGGCTGTTACAGTTGCCCAGAGTCGCAGCTTCTGCACGGCACTTCGGCTTTCAGTTTGTGTCATCTGTCAGGCGGACGCCAGTGTGTGGCCGGGACAGGGACGGTTGCAGGTTCTGGCGGTTTCAGCGGACGTCTGAGTGGGGCTGAGACCAAGAGTGGGCAAGGTAGGAGCTGAGGCTGGCCTGAAAGCGATCTTTCCAAGAGCCAGGGGTACACCAGGCTCAGTGGCCAAGGTCCTCTTGGGGTGCTCACGGACCCCAAACCACCAGGGGAGTTCTGGGCATGTAAGGGACCTTACAGTCCAGAGCCATGCAGGGAGTTGCAGGAGCCCGGATGGGCAGGGGAGGCTCAAAGGACACAGGACTCGAGTTCCTCCTGGGGAGGAGAGAACCCCAGAGACTCCGTGAAGAGTTCGACAGTCTGCTGGCATCAAAGAGAGAATAGGTATGGAGCAGGGGAGAGGGAGAGGAAAAGGAAGGGAGGACGGAAGGAAGGAAGGAAGGAAGGGACAGCCAGCAACAAGTCAGATGTGGTGGCGCACACCTGTAATCCCAGCACTCGGGAGGCTGAGGCAGGAGGATCACCACATATTCAAGGGCAGCCTGGGCTACAAAGTGAGTTCAAGCCATCCTGAAGTGCAGGGCAAAACTCTGTCTCAAAAAGGCAAACAGACAGACAGAGAGACAGAGAAAAAAGGAAGAAAGAACAAGAGACAGAAGAAAGAGAAGTGGGAGGGAAGTGGACTGCGAACAGCCTCTGTGTCTGGCGCTAGCACCCTGGGGACCCGTGGACAGCAGGGTGCCACCGCCGAAGGGCTCCCCGAAGGGCTCCAGCCCCTAAACCCGCCCGTGGCAGCTGCCGTGAGCAGGGAGGTTTACCCACTGCAGAATACAGCCACGGCCCGTCCTTCCCAGTGACTCTAGTGGTGCAGCTGAGCTATGCAGTGAGTGGGCTCTGTCTTGGCAGGAACACAGAGCTCACTCTGCGTTGTTGTGGGAGGGTCAGGGCGAGGGGGTGTGCTCACCGGGTTGTTGCTGTTGACCATCATGGTGGTTGCTATTGGTTTGTGCAGTTGGTGTTGGCCATGGTCCCTGTGGGTGGCTTGGTGACAACGGTGGTTGTCTTTTGAGTTTTTTTTTCGTTTTATTTTGTTTTTGAGAGAGCATCTCACTCTGTAACTCAGGCTGGCTTTGAATTCGCTGTGTGGTCCTGGCTGGCCTCGGAATTGCAGCAACCCTCCTGTCTCAGCCTTCCCAGTGCTGGGATGACAGGCATGTGCCACCACGCCCGGCTCTCAGGGTGGTCACCCTGGGGGACAGCTGGTGTTTGAGGCTGGTCACTGATGGTCCATTGTTTCCTGCTGGAAACCTTGCAGGGGGCTGGTGGTGGGTAGATGCTGGTGACAACTAGCGGTTGCTGTTATTTGGAACTGGGTGGCGTTGATAGTTTGCTTGCTGTCGGTAGCTCATTGCCAGCTTCCGGTGATGGCAGCCCTCACGAGGACTGCAATTCTTTCTTGGATTTTGGATGGGAATGATTCATGAGTGCCATGGCCTCGAGTTGCTATGGCAGCTGTGTGTGGTGGCTGATGGCCAGCGCGGTTAACCATGCTGTTATCATTAATGCTTGTTGTCATTACGGATGGCAGTCAGTTGTTCAGGGTGTGGTTAGGTTTGTCTTTTTGAGACAGGGTCTCCATACGCAGTTCAGGCTGGCATTGAACCCACTGGCAATGATCCTCTTGCCTCAGCCTCCCAAGTGCTGGGATTGCAGGCATGTACCAGGACACCCCACTTTAAGGGCTGATGGTAGCTGGGAGGGGTGGTGCATGCCTGGAACCCCAGCACTGGGAGGCCGAGGCAGGAGGGTCCGAAGTTCAAACCTCGCCTCTGCAACTCAATCAAACCCTGCCTTGAAAAAAATACATAAATAAATAGTATTTCTTTCTTTCTTTCTTTTTTTTTTTTTTTTTTTTTTTTTTTTTTGTCGTTTTCGTTTTTATCGGTACCAGGGATAGAACTCACGACCGCATACTTGCAAGGCAGGCGCTTATACGGCTGAGCTAAATCTCCAGCCCCCATCCCACTTCTTTTTATTCCTCTCTTCCCCCCACCTCCCTCCCCCTGCTCCTTTCACCCATCTTCATTATTTATTATTATTGTCGTTGTTATTTAGCTCACGTGTATGACATACGCTTCCGCTCACTGTGGGTTTTAGCACAGGGACAGGACTCATCCTACGGCTTTTTCTTCCCTCTGCACTCGCTCCTGGTCCCCCAGACTCCTTCCCTTTTGCAAAACCTCCATCTCAGTGTTTCCTTCTAGGCACCCTTCCCAGAATGAAATGGAGTCACGTAAGGACCAGAGATGCAGCGCAGTGGGAAGGCCCTGGGTTCCATCCAAAGCATCCTTTATCCCGGTGATGCTGAGCGATTGCAGGGACTCGGGTATCCTCGTCCGGTGCTGGCGCAGGCGTTCTTAGCAGCTCCCCTTTGACTTTTCCGGGTGTGAGGGGTGCAGACAGGAGAGCAGCTGTAGTACCTTTCATTTGATTTTCTGTTTTCATTTTGATTTTCTTTTGTTTGTTTGGTTTTTGTCGCTGCTATTTTCGAGACACAATCTTCTGTGTAGCCCAGGCTGGCCTGGAACTCACAACGATCTTCTCGCCTCGGCCTCCTGAGTGCTGGGATGACAGGCATGCGCCACTGCGGTTGGCGGCAGCAGTAGTTTTTAAAACACAGACACGAAGCAAAGAGATCACGGATGCAGCCGCTCGTCCAGGGCTGGTTGCCAAGGGGATGGAGAGAAAAGGCTGAAAATTAAGAATTTAGAGGAAAGAGGAGAAATCAGCTGGTGTGGTGGCACACGCTTGTCATGCCAGCACCTGAGAGACTGAGGCAGGAGGGTCATAAATGGTAGGCCAATCTGGGCAACCTAGAGAATGGTGAGATACTGTCTCCAAGGGTGGAACCGGGCATGATGGTACACACCAGTCATCCCAGCACTCGGGAGGCTGAGGCAGGAGGATCATTGCAAGTTGGAGACCAGCCTGGGCCACAAAGTGAGCTTGAGATCAGTCTGATCTGCATAGTGAGACCCTGTCTCAAAAAGACAAAATAAATAAATACATAAATAAGTAAATCAAAGGGTGGGAGATGGCTCAGTGCAAAGGCCCTGAGTTCAATCTCAAGCACCACAAAAAAGACACACAAAACAATGTAAACCGTAAGAGAGCAGAAGGGAGCCACACTGGATCGGGATAAGGCGGTGCCTGCCTCTTCCTGGTGAACCGGAGGAAAAGCCAGGGTCCTCCCGGGGAGGCTTGGCTGATCTCCATAGTCTGCAGCTGCGAACCCACCGAGGTCCCCTGCAATGGATGGGAAACTGAGCCCCATGAGGAGGGAGAGGCCCTGGAGGCTGCGTGGGGTGCAGGGTGTGGCCGAGCCTCCAGCAGGGCACACAGAGCCCAGAGCCGCAGCTCAGGTCTGGCAGGACCCCCGTAAGGAAGTTGCTGTGACCTCTGCAGCCCGGAGCTCCAGAGCAGGAGCAGGCCACCCGGAAGGCTTGGGGTGAACCGCACAGCCTCACACCCCGCTCATCCTTCCTCCAGCCAGCAAGGTGGGCACTGGTTCCCAGGCGTAACCTGGCCCCGCTGAATCTGTACGGCAGCCCCACCCCCACACCTCTAATGTTCCCATGCTCAAAATGAGGAAACTGAGGCAGGGAGGTTAGGCAAGCTGCCATGAAAGCCAAAAGAGGAACAGGATTTCAACCAAGTCACTGTCCAGGCCATGTCCTTCACAGCCCCCTTGTCTAGGTCTGTGCTGCACACCTACAATCCAGAGCTCTGGGAAGCTGAGGCAGGAGGAGTCCCAATTCAACAATGTGGTGAGACTCTGTCTCAAAAATTAAAAGTTAAATAAGAGAACCGGGTGTGGTGATGCATGCCTGTAATCCCAGCAGTCAGGAGGCTGAGGCAGGATGACTGCCATGAGTTCAAAACCAGCCTGGACTATACAGGGAGATTGAAATAAACAAAACAAAACAAAAAATTCTAAAAAGCCAGAGATGCAGCTCAGTGCAAAGGCTCAGTGCAAAGACCCCACACACACAAAACACACACAGGCACAAGCAGCCACCTAACCACAACCTCTTCCTCCTCTTCCTCCTCCTCCTCCTGCTCTTCCTCCTCCAAGGTGACAAGTTACACTGAAGGTGAATGCTGACCCTATATGCCCCATGCTGTTAAATGACCCTGCCCATCCCTCCACTTTCATTTGGACATGGGCTCTCTACTCCAAAGAAACTATGGAGTCCCATTTGAAGAAGCTGAGGCAGGAGGATCCCAAATTCCAGCCAAGCCTGGGCAACTTAGTGCCTTGAATGACATGTCTCAAATAAGAATGTTTGGGCTGGGGATATAGCTCAGTGGGCACAGTGCCTGCCTGGCAAGCACAAGGTCAAGAGTTTAATTCCCAGTACCAGTAAAGATAAAAAGTTAACGAAAATAAAAAACTGTTTTCAAAAGCCTGGGGAATGAGCTGGGAATTTAGCTCAATGGCATAAGCGCCTGCCTTGCAAGGGTGTGGTCGTGAGTTGGATCCTGGTACAAAAAAAAAAGCCTGGGGAATGTAGCTCGAGTGAAAACTCTGGAGTCAGTCCTCAGGAACCAGAGAGAGGGAAAGAGGGGAGGGGGAGGGGGAGGGGAGGGGGGAGGGGAGGAGGGATAGACAACGAGGGAAAGGAAAAAGAAGAGACAGGAAGAAAGGAAAATAGAAAAGAAAAAGGAAAGCAAAGCAAAGAACCAAGGCATGGTGGTGCGTGCCTGGAATCCCAACACTCAGGAGGCTGAGGCAGGAAGATTGCCATGGGTTAAGGTCAGCCTGGGCTAGTGAGACCTTGTCTCCAAAAAAAAAGAGGAGGAGGAGGAAAGAAAGAAAAAAAATCCTAGTTCCTGGGTGCTTACTAGAGCATCCGCACCACACATGGCAGACCTGCCTGGGTGCGGGAGCTCTGACCCACCCCCGCCTTTCCTCTCCACCCTCCAGAGTGGTCTCCCGTGGGCAGCCACTGCACCTACAAGTGCCACCTCGAGGTCTCCACTGGCAGGGCCAGGCCCCTCCACCTGCACCTGGCCTCCACCCACCTGGGTGACCAGGAAAAGGGAGGTGTGCGTTGGCTGCCGCCCCAGGGGCCCCAACTTGGCTACAAACAGGTCGCCCCTGCACCGTGCAGAGCCCCACCCCCACCCCGGGCTGTGGGTCCCCCTCACAGGGGAACCCAGCGGCCTCCCCTTCCCGCCACTCACTCTCCGCTGTTGCACAAGGCTCGGCTGTTGGCTCATCCTCTGCTGTGGTCAACTGTGACCGCAGCCTCTGGGTTGTATCTCTGCCCCCAAGGAAGGGACTCAGGAGCAGACAGTCTCCATGTGACCCGCGGAGATGTGGGGCCACAGACAGAGGCTCATGAGGCAAGACACATCCCCGTGGTATTTCATTCATTCAGGAACATGCTGACCAGCTTCAGGCCTCTGCAAGGTCACAGTGGAACCCATTAGACAGCTGGGGAAACTGAGGCGAGGACAGTGAAGCGGCCTCCTCAGAGTCACAAAGGCAGTCTGCTCTCCAGCTAACCCTTGAGCCCAACCCACCCCATGCCAGAATTCTCACCCTCCTCCTGCACACCCGTGGCACAACCCTCCATGCCCCCCATGCCAGAAGCCTGTGATCTTCACCATGGGCAGGGGGCTCAGGGAATCTAGGGGGACCTAGATCTGGGGGTTCATGTTGAGAGGCAGAGGCACTCCACCGTGTGAGGGGGGCAGGAAAGGGAACCAAGGTCCCAAGGCCAGAAGAGCCTCAGACTGGGGAGAGGAAGTGACCCTGCTCCTCAGCTCAGCCTGGGGGTCCGAGGCGGCAGACAGGGCCAGCGCGGTCCCCACCCTGGCATCTGCACCTGACCGGAAGCACCGGGCCCAGCTCGAGCGTCCTCTCCTCTTGCTCTGCCGTGCTGCGCTGGGTGACCTCAGGGAGCTGCCCCATCTCTCTGTGCTGTAATTTTGTCTTCTACAAAACAGACCAGATCACAGAGATGCTCTCAGTGAGCGGAATGAGTCGGACTCAGTGGTCCACACCTGTTATCCCAGAAGGCTGGGAGGCTGAGGCAGGAAGACTGCAAGTTAGAGCCCCGGGATTTAGCATGACTCAGCCTCAAAATAAAATAATAGCAACAATAATAATAATTACTATAATTATAATAATGGCTGGGGTTGAAGCGAAGTGGAAGGCCTCAGGTTCAATCCCCAGTGTCAGAGAGAGAAAAAGAGAGAGAAAGAGAATATGAGCGAATGAAATGAAATAATTCAGTACTTAAGCTTACACCAGCCAGTGCGAATGGTACTCGCCTGTCATCCCAGCTACTTGGGAGGCTGAGTCAGGAGGATTGACAGTTCAAGAGTACATAACTTAACAATACCCTGTTTTAAAATGTAAAATTATTTAAGAATAGGGGTTGGGGATATGGCTCAGTGGTAGAGCTTTTGCCTTGCATGCACAAGGCCCTGAGTTCGATCCCCAACACCACACGCACACACAAAAAGACAAAATTTAAATATAAACAGGCTGTGAGTGTAGCTCAGGGCTCCCAGACTCGGCGCGGGGGTTAGAAGCAATGCTGGGTGCAGCTCAGTGAGCCCTTAGCAGGCACAGGCCTCAAAGTCCATCCCCAGAACTGCAAAGAACAAGCAAACAACTGCAGGCTGGAGGCTGGCACAGAGTCAAGGCCAGCGGGGTGTAAACTGTTGTGGTGGTTGTTGTTTCCAGCTTTCAAATCCGAGGACCCACCCCAAGCTCTGCAGAGAAAGAACCCACTTCCGGTCCCCAGCAGCTTACACGGGGCTGCCTATCCGGCCCCCAGAAGGGCATCCTCCAGTGCCATGGCTCAGAGAAAGAGCAGAACCCCCTCTCCCCCATCCCACCAACTCCACTCCCATGTGTCACCATCTGTCCCAACAGCAAGCCCTGGGCTCCCCATCTTGAAAACAGGAAATGCAGGCTCCCCCCACCTCTCCCTCTGGCCTCTTCCTCTTCCCAACCAGACTGGCTGAAAGCCGTCCTCCCTGTCTGACTACACCACCTCACCCTCCACGTGACTTCGGCCCGAGGTCCCAGGCCCGTCCTTGGGGCCCCTGAGTCAATGGTTTCCAACCCACCCCTCACTCCCCCACCTCCTTCCTCCTTCCCCCCTGCCACCCCTTGGTCCGGCTGCCTCTGACCTCGCTGCACACTGGGCTGTCAGCGCCTCACACCTAGGTGAACGATAAAAAAACTTTTCCTCAAGCCCTGGTTCCAACCCCAAGAAATCCCATTAGGGACAAGCCACTCTTCCAAAAAAACTTTTTTAAATCCAGTCGGCAAGGCTTCTGGGTGCAAGCGTTTTGATGACTGCGACCCAAAGGGTAGATTTTCCATTTATCCATAAACAGCTTGGTTCTAGGTTCCAGTTATTAGAAATAGTGTTGTCCCTTTTTGTTTTGTTTTTCTTTTTATCGGTACCGGGGATCGAACTCACGACTGCCTGCTTGCAAGGCAGGTACTTTAAACCTCCAGCCCCTTGTCCTTTTATGAACACCTGCCTGGGGGAGCTGGGAGGCTGAGGCAAGACAGTCCACTGCATGCAAATGTGGCACCTTCTCAAGCCCCCACCTGCCAAACTCCAGCCACCTCTGGGACTATAAAACTGTTCCCACAATTCCAATCCCGCACCCAGAATGTAAGTCCTGGCTGAGACCCACCCCATGCTCACCACCCGACCGCGACCGATCAAGTCCAAAGTCCTCGACCTAGCATTCAAGGCCCCAGTGGAGCCCACTCTGGCCGACCTGTGTCCATTCATTCATTCACGCCTGCTTTCCTGCCTTCATTCATCCACTCCATTCATCCACCTCCTGAATTATTGAAATGACCTCTGAAGCCTTGTTCAGCCAGCCCATTGCCCGAGACCCTGCCCTCCTTGGTAGGTGACCGAACAGGCTGAAACAACCAGTATGGGACAGGGCTATGATAAGGGACGCCCAGGGGGCAACAGAGGTCCTGAGAAAGCACAGACGTGCCCTACTCTCAGCGAGGTCTTTCTACCAAGGACAGCATTTGCGCAGAATGGAAAGACAAATTGGTGTTAACCAGGCTGGAAGGACCTGGTGGAAGAGGTGCTCCCATCATGGCACTGCGGAGGCAGAGAGCAAGGGGCGGGACCAGGGAGGGAGCTGAAACCTAGCCACACCCTTCTGACCACGCCCCTTGTGGCCACGCCCCAGTATCACCTCTTCCGGTCCCTGCCCACCTCCTAAAATCGTGATTAGCTGTGATGCCCCATGACTTCCAGGCCTTTCAAAGGCCCTGCCTTTGCATGCCAAGGCTTTGGGGGGTCCTCTACCTGTAAATCATAACAGACTCGAGTTTCCAGCACCCAGTGAGAGCTCAAGAATTCTTTGTAGAATTACCAGGCATATGCCTTTGATCCCAGCACTCCCGAGGTCAAGGCAGGAGGATCATTATGAGTTCAAGGCCAGCCTGAACTACCTAGCAAGGCCCTGTTATCTAGCCAGTATTAGAACCCAGATCTAGCCTCATGCCCAAGGCTGGGCCCATTTAATACCCTTGGACATTCCTCAACAAACCCCCACCCTGCTGGCTGTCATCATCTCCTGAACCTGAACATGCTGTTCCTCCCATGCTCAAGAACATTCTGTGGCTCCCCAGTGCCACCAGGAGACACTGGCTCTCCAGTGGAGCCCTCTGTGACTGGCCATGGTGTCAAATCCTCTGCCCAAGCCCACCTTCCTCTTGATCCCGCCTGTACCCCGTCTGCCCCACACCCCCATCTCCCTTTCCTGGAACCTGCTGCAAGGTGTGGGTTCTAGTTAAAGAGTTGGCCTTGCTTTCTAGTATCTTTTGCTTAGGGGTAGTTGGGGTCCTTTGGGAGGACGGGTGATACTAGGGACGTAACACAGGACTTTTGCACTGGGCTACACACTCCAGGCTGGGTTGGAACTTGCAGTCCTCCTGCCTCGGCCTCCCAGAGGGCTGACATGACAGCACATGCCGCCACACCCGGCTGCAGCTAAGCTCTTCTCTGCCTTTGTTCCAGGGGGCTAAGAAAGGACGTACCGGCCGCAGCCCTGGCCCATGAGCCCCGGGACGGTGCTGGGCCTGGCATCGCCGGGTCTGGCGTGGAGTCTGGACAGCACCCTGGCCCCTGGCCCCGCATCCCCGAGGAGGCAGGGGCTCACAGCTGTCCCATCATCTCCACCCCCAGGGCAGCAAGGAGCGCTTCCACTGGCAAAGCCACAATGTGAAGCAGAGCGGGGTGGACGACATGGTGCTGCTGCCCCAGATCACCGAGGACGCCATCGTGAGCAACCTCCGGAAGCGCTTCATGGACGACTACATCTTTGTATCCTGGGCAGAGGGTGGACAGGGACGGAGGGCTGGGAGGACAACTGCGCAAGGAGGTGGGGAGGGATGCACAAAAGCGGATAAAAGAAGGGAGGGGGAGCAGGGAGCAGTGAGGCACTGCGCTGGGACAAGGATCACCACCCGGGGCCACAGGGCCGGGACCCCACAGCCCCACAACTCCAGGTGTCACCTCTGTCTTGGTTTATACACTGCACTAGCTCTACGTGCTCTAGAGCCTCGTGTAAGTGGAACCACATAGTACTTGCTTTCAAACTAATACACGGAAGACAAAGATGGTCCCCAAAACACATCAGCGCCCCCCGGCGGATCAGCGCAGCCTTTGGTTCTCAGAGGAGCGCGAACCCGGCTGTGAGCAACGCATGCGCACGCTTCTAGGAGCCGCCCCACCCCACTCCCCCACCCCACTCCCCCACAGCGGGTCCTGATCCCGAAAAGGCTGGGGGCCTCTGGTTGGGAGGGTGCAGGACCACATGCAACATTCTGTTCCTGGGTTTCAGGACGCGGCCCTGGTTTTGTTTTTGTTTTTACTTTTGTTTTTTATTGCTGCTGCTGCTGCTGCTGCCGCCACCATCCTTCCTCCTCCTCTTCCTCTTCCTTTTTTTCTTCCTCCTCCTCCCCAACCTCCCTCTCCTCCTCTGGTACTAAGCATTGAACCCAAGATCTTAACATTCAGCTGCAGCTCGGCCTCTCTCTTATTTCTCATTTTTATTTTCTGTTTTGAGACAAGATCTTGCCGGATCGCTAAGTTGCGCAGGTTGGGCTTGAACCCGCAGCCCCCTTGCTCAGCCTCCCTGAGCCTGGAATGAGGGCCGGGCACCCCAGCCCTGTCATCTCCTAAGAGACCTGAGGTACATGCCGTACCTCCATCTCCCCGCCCGGGCTGGGGTCTGAGAGGCTGCGTGGGGACAGAAGGAGAGGACCGGGGACCTCAGGGACCCAGCAGACACTGTGCTGCCCTTAACCGCCTCCCAGACCTACATCGGCTCCGTGCTCATCTCTGTAAATCCGTTCAAGCAGATGCCCTACTTTACTGACCGCGAGATCGACCTCTACCAGGGCGCGGTGAGGCCAGGGCCGGGCAGGAGGAGCCACCCGCAGACCCCCAGCCCTGACCCCGGGCTGAGCCCTCGCCTCCCCCTGCCAGGCCCAGTATGAGAATCCACCACACATTTACGCCCTCACCGACAACATGTACCGGAACATGCTCATCGACTGTGAGAACCAGTGCGTCATCATCAGGTACAGGCCGGGGCTCGGCGCGCCCAGTGAGGCCCGGGCTCTACGAGGTCCCCACTTCCCCAGGGCAGTTTGCCTGGAGCTCCCTCTCTGTGCCACTCCCAGCCCGGCCTTACTTCCCTCGCACCATCTGACTCCTGATAACATTTTATGTATTCAGTCTGTGATTGTTCTTCTGTTCCCTCTAGATGCCAGCACCATAAGGACAGGGATTTTTATCTGTCTTAGTGTGTAGCACACAGTAGATGAAGGATGGATGGATGGATGGATAGATGGGTGGATGGATGGATGGATGGATGGATGGGTGGATGGATGATAGGCGGATGGATGGTGATGAGTGGATAGATGATGATGGATGGATGATGGGTCGATGCATGATGGATGGATGATGGGTCGATGCATGATGGATAGAGGGATGATGGATAGATGAGTGATGATAGATGGATGGATGATGGGTGGATGAATTATGGATGGTGATGGGTAGATGGATGGATGACGGATGGATGGATGGATGGATGGATGGATGGATGATGGATGGAGGGGTGATGGTTGAATGGATGGATGATGGATAGATGGATGATGATGAGTGGACAGATGATAATGGGTGGATGATGGATGATGGATGGATAATAGATGATGGATATGATGGATAGATGTTGATGAATGATGGATGGATGAATGGATGGATGATGGGTAGATGATGGATGATGGATGGATGATGATGACAGGATGGATGGATGAATAGTGATGGATGATGATGGGTGGATGACAGATGGATGGATAAATGATGGATGGATGTTGAGACACTCAAAAGGCCCTTCCTGCCATTCTTACCCACTGCCCATTCTTTCTCCATCTCCCCAGTGGAGAGAGTGGAGCTGGGAAGACAGTGGCTGCCAAGTACATCATGGGCTACATCTCCAAGGTGTCTGGCGGGGGACAGAAGGTCCAGGTGAGCACCCAAGCACAGAAGGACAGGCTGGGCCTCCCCAAGCTGCACAGCAGTTCATCCCCCCAGCCCACCTGACCCAGACTGACCTCTTCCCCCACCTCTGCACCCAGCACGTCAAGGACATCATCCTGCAGTCCAACCCACTGCTGGAAGCCTTTGGCAATGCCAAGACTGTGCGCAACAACAACTCCAGCCGTTTTGTGAGTTACGCAAAAACCCCAGGGCCCCCCACACATACACACACACTATAGCCAGGGCCAGAGCCCTGAGCAAATCCAGCAGGGACATATAGGAGATTCACTTTCCTTTTATGGTCTGTTTGAAAAAAGGTCCCCCATAGTCAGGCCTGGTGGCACACTCCTGTAGTCCCAGAACTGGGGAGGCTAAGGCAGGAGGATCGTTGCAAGTTCGAGACCAGCCTGGGCTACAAAGTGAGCCCAAGGCCGGCCTAAACCACATAGCAAGACCCTGCCTCAAAAAGACAAAAAAAAATGTCCCCCATTGGAAGAACTGGAGAGGCCATGACAGTTCTGTGTAACATTCTTAAATATTCCCCCGGCTGCAACCATGCTACTTTTCTGTTCCTTTTCACATTCAGGTTCAGTTTATTTCTGCCTTCATTCTTACTTTCAACAAACACTTTTTGGGCTTCCCTGGTGTGCGTGTGTGTGCTGCTATGCTTGGCTCAGTGAAAGACAACAGGGAAGCAGATTTGGATTTATGACCCAGTTCTGGCACTATGGAGCTGTATAGCCTGGATGAAAAAATAATGGTATAATCTCCTGAGTTTTCTCTATTTGTTATCCATAAAATAGAGCTGGTGAGCTGGGCATGGTGGTGCATTTGGGAGGCTGAGGCTCCAGGAGGATCATTGCAAGTTTGAGACCAGCCTGGGCTACAAAGTGAGCCCAAGGCCACCTGAACTGTGTAGTGAGACCCAGTCTCAAAAAGAAAAAATAAAGCTGGCATTAATATTCATCTCACAGGATATCAGTAATTTTAGTACAATGTTGGCAAGTAGAAATGCCTGGCCAATTCAATCACGATTTTTATTTCCCTAGTCTTATGTTTTTAAACTATATTTTCATACAATTACATTTTAAGTATTTGTCCTGTTTTATAATTTTTAAATACACAAAAATTGAAAGAGTACTACAGTGAACGCCTGTGTGCCTATCTCTTAAATTCTTATTAACATTTACTATACAGGTTGAGCACATCTAATCTGGAAATCTTAAAGTTTCCAAAATTTGAAAGTTTTTGAATAGCATCATGATGCTACAAGTGAAAAATCTTACCCTTGAACTTGTGTGACCAAATCAAAATAAAGGCACACTACATATTGTACATAAAAGTACCCTCAGATCCTACCTGTGAAGTCTCGTGTGATGTATCATTCCCATATATCTCATTATGTGCATGAAAATATTTCTAAATCCAAAATATGAAACACTTCTGATCTCAATCATTTTGGCTAGAGACTGATATTTTCTTAACATATTGTAATTTTACATATTCATAGGGACCACTTTTACTTATTTTTTTAAGCCAGTCAAATTTAGCAGTGGGGGGGTGATATACCAACTTTAGTGACACTAATGTTAATAAGTTCTGATACCACTTTTATTTTTTGAGACACTGCAAAGTAATGATACTACCCTTTCGCCCTGCAAAAAAAGGTGGCCTTCAGATCATCAATTATTGTCCAAGACAAATTTGAAGCTTTTTGTGGTTGTTGCTGTTGTCATCATTTGACTTTTGTTGTTTTTTGTTTTGTCTTGTTGTTTTTCAGGATTTTGTTTGTTTGGTTATTTGTTTGGTTGCTTTCTAATTTTTCTGTGCTTTTTATTTGTCTTTAAAATAAAAATTGCAGCTTTTAGTTCTTTGCTTCTTTTCATTGTTTTTCTGTGCAGTATTTTTTTTTTCTTTTGTACCAGAGATTGAACATGCAACTTTACATTTGCCAAGCAGGCACTTACACTGCTGAGCTAAACCCTCTTTGAAAGTAATACTTGCGGGGCTGGGGATTTAGCTCAGCGGCATAAGCACCTGCCTTGTGAGCAGGCAGTCATGAATTCAATCCCCAGTACCAGTTAAAAAAAAAAAAAGAAAAGAAAGTAATAGTTGCACACAAAAAATAGATTTGTCAGAAGCGGACCATACTCTGAGCTTGGACAAACGCTTACGCCTGTGTGACCCAGACCCCTGTCAGGACACAGAGCCCACATCACCATGGAAACTGCCTTCTCCTTCCTTGCCTGTTAATCTCCACTCTCAACTCCAGGTGTCACCTCTGTCTTGGTTTATACACTGCACTAGCTCTACGTGCTCTAGAGCCTCGTGTAAGTGGAACCACATAGCACTTGCTTTCAAACTACTAATACACGGAAGACAAAGATGGTCCTCAAAACACATGTACGCTATGTTATGCAATTTCCGCATACAGTAGAGTAAGCAGTTGTTACACATCACGGGTGTTTCCTTGGAGAGGACGGTGATGTAATTTGAACTGTTATTTAAAGGAGGTGGGTAAAAGTGGTAGAAAAGAGAAGGAAGGGAGTTTTTCTGCCCTGTGACCTCTGGCCAGAGCAGAACCCAGATGATGCTAAGATTCAAAGAAGGGGGCCTCAGGTACTCGTCTGGGCTCAGAGAAAACATAGGTGAGTCACCCAAGAGGCCACTGGGACATGAAGGTCTCTGTGTAATGATGGAAGGATCTGGGAAGTGATCAATAAAATGTGATGAACATGCAGGCGTGGTGACACGTGCATATAATGCCAGCACTGGGGAGGCTGAGGCAGGAGGATCACTGCAAGTTCGAGGCCAGCCTGCAGTACATAGTGAGAGCCTGTCTCAAAAAAAAAAAAAAAAAAAAAAATGTGATGCACACAGTGCTGCGTAACTCAAGTGAAAGCTTGGGGGACTCAGAAGGGATGGAAAGGGTGGCACTGTTGGCGCAGGGCACTGCTGAGCTAAGGCTCAAAGGAAGCATCTGGTGACAGGGCAGTCAGTCAGTCAGTGGGTAGGGAGGAAAGACAGCTGCTTAAGCCCACATAGGAAAGAGGAGGGAGCCCAGCTCATCACACCCATGCCCAATCCTCGCCCCAGCTGTACTCTGGGACCCCGGGGAGCTGACGCGATGCTCCCTGGGGTGCAGGGCAAGTACTTTGAGATCCAGTTCAGCCGCGGCGGGGAGCCAGACGGGGGCAAGATCTCCAACTTCCTGCTGGAAAAGTCACGCGTGGTCATGCAGAATGAGAACGAGAGGAACTTCCACATCTACTACCAGGTGCGGCCCTGGATCATCCCAGGGGCCGGGGGAAGAGAGGGAGATCGGGGTCCCGGGGATGGTGAGGACTGGGGAGACACAGGGCTACAGAGGCCAGTCCCAGACTTACAGGCATCATCTCAACCCTCCAGCTGCTGGAAGGAGCCTCCCAGGAGCAGCGCCAGAATCTGGGGCTCATGACGCCCGACTACTATTACTACCTCAACCAATCAGACACCTATAAGGTGGACGGCACCGATGACCGCAATGACTTCAGTGAGACCCTGGTGAGCACTGGCGGGCACGCCAGCCCCCGGCTGTTCTCTCAGTCCAGCAAACGTTCTCGTGATGTGAATCGGGCTAAGGAGGCCCAGAGAGATGCAGGGACTTACGGAGGTCACACAGCCCCTAGAGGATGGAGGCAATGGGGCGCTCCTGGGGGCAGGGCGGAGGCCAAGGCTGGCACATAGGCCGCTGTCCCTGTTGTACCCGCAGAGCGCCATGCAGGTCATCGGGATCCCGCCCAGCGTGCAGCAGCTGGTCCTGCAGCTTGTGGCTGGGATCTTACATCTGGGAAACATCAGCTTCTGCGAAGAGGGGAATTACGCCCGGGTGGAAAGCGCGGACCGTGAGTGAGGGGCCGGGAACGGAGGGAGGCGGAGGCCGGTTCCTCCTGGTTCAGAGCCCACAACTGGGAAGCCAGAAAGACGGGGAGGTGCACGCGTGAGCCCCAAGAGCCTGACCAGCTGCCTTCCTGGCCCGGGTCTGGCAGTCCTGGCTTTCCCCGCCTACCTGCTGGGCATCGACAGCGGCCGGCTGCAGGAGAAGCTGACTAGCCGCAAGATGGACAGCCGCTGGGGCGGGCGCAGCGAGTCCATTGACGTGACCCTCAATGTGGAGCAGGCAGCCTACACCCGCGACGCGCTGGCCAAGGGGCTCTACGCCCGCCTCTTCGACTTCCTGGTGGAGGCGAGTGGGGCCTGGGCTAGGGCTGCCGGGTGGCCTTGGACCTGCACCACTATCACTGTGTCACCGAATCCTGAGGGTGGGGGCGGCTTTCCACATGTCCACGTCCAGTAGAAGACATGGACAGTGTCAGAGTGAGACGCATTGTCTTAGTTCCTTGCCTCCTTGCTGGGACGAAAACCCCCAACATCCACAGCGTAGGGAGTAGAGGTTTATCTGGACCCATGTTTCAGTCCGTGGTTGGCTGGCTCCAAGGAAGGACCAACGGCAGAGGGAGCGGCTCCCACTTTGGTGGACAGGAAGCAGAGAGAGAAGGGAGGAGCCCAGGAGGGAAAATCCCTCCCAGGCCACGCCCCCAGCGACATCTCTTCCAATCAGATTCCGCCTCTTAAGAGGCTGGCCTCTCTAAGCCCCTGCAATCCAATCGCCTTCCTGAGACCCTTGCCAATGGGCACAGGAGACTTTAGGGATGTGTAGGTGTCAACCATAGCAGGGATGCAGAGGCAGATACACGTGAGAGCCATGCGGAAGTTTGTCAAGGAGGTGAAGTGATGAAAGATGGGATGGAGCTGTAGAGGAACAGGATGGTCCAGGGCTAAGAATAATCACCGCAGCCACAAACGTTGTGTAGCACAGTCCTAAGTGTTTTATGTGTGTCACCTTCTTACAGTCTCAGAAAAAGCCTTGTAATTTACAGGTTAGGTGTCTTTAATTGGAAACTCTCAAATCCAAAGACTTTGAAACTCCAAAATCCAAGACTTTTGAGTACCCACAGGACAGCACAAGTGCAGAATTTCAACCCTGACCTCATAGGCATGGGTTGAAGTCAATATGTAGGTGCCAGCTGAGTACAATGGCACATGTCTGTAATCCCGTCAGTCTGGGAGGCTGAGGCAGGAGGACCATAAATTCAAGCCCAGCCTGGGTAACTGAGCAACTTAGCAAGACTTTCTCTCAAAATTTGAAAAACTGTTTTAAAAGGCTGGAAATATAGCTGAGTGTAAAGACTCTAAATTCAATCTCCGGTTCCTGGGGCACGGGGGAGACACAGGTGCATTAAAAATAGTATATAAAATTACCATTGGATATAGCAAATATTAACAATAATAGTAATGAAATAAAATGACCTTTGGATTATGTGGATAATGTATATGTGTTCCACAAATGAATTCTGTGTTTTAATTCTGTGTTCAGGAACCGTCCAGAGATAACTTGCAATTATACATTTATGCAAATATTCTCAAATCCAAATCCTGAAATATTTTTGGTCACAAGCATTTCTAATGAAGGACACTCAGGGCCAACAGTGTAGCTTAGTGGTGGACCATTTTATAACATGATCAAGAACCTAAGCTCCATCACGGGCACCATCCCCTCAAAAAAAAAACTAACGAGGGACCCTCAACCTGTAGTTGCTTGTTGAATTTGTTATTTTTGCTGCGTGGTGCTAGAGACGGAGCCCAGATCCTTCTATATATAGACCAAAGGTTTACCACAGAGCTGCACCACGGCCCAGTACCTGCAGTTATTCACTCTTTTAAAGCTAAGAAAATCGAAGCATAGACAGGTAAAATGGCAAAGCCATTCCTGAGTCCCCAACACTCCACCACTTTTATGAGTGACTGACTGGACTCGGGGCAAGGAAGAAACTGGTAAGAGAATTTGTAGCCTAACAGTCTTGTTAGCCTAAGAAGAGGGTAGTGGGGCTGGGTACCATGGCCCATACCCATAGCTACTTGGGAGGCTGAGGCAGAAAGATCTCAAGTTGAACGCCAGCCTGGGAAATTTAGTGAGACATTGTCTCAACATTTTAAGACTAAATTAAAAGGACTAGGGCTGTAGCTTAGTGGTGGAGCACCTACCTAGCATGCGTGAGGCTCTGGGTTCTACCCACAAGAATCACACTGGGAGGGGGGTGTCATGGTGTGACCTGTTGTTCTCCCACCTGCAGGCCATCAACCGCGCGATGCAGAAGCCTCAGGAAGAGTACAGCATAGGCGTGCTTGACATCTACGGCTTCGAGATCTTCCAGGTTTGATGCCTGCACCCCAACACCCAAACCACATCCTGTCCTCCCGGCAACCTCGGGGCAGCTCAGAGGCCACCAAGGTCTTGGCACCAGCATACTTACTCATCAGAGACCTTCCCCCTCTGCAGAAAAATGGCTTTGAGCAGTTCTGCATCAACTTCGTCAACGAAAAACTGCAGCAGATCTTCATCGAGCTCACCCTGAAGGCCGAGCAGGTGGGCAGGGCATGGGGAGGACCTGAAGAACCTCAGTCAGTGAGCCGTGGGGACACCCGGGTATCCTGTTCCCATGTCGCTCTGCTTTTCGTTGTGTGAGGCAGATTTCTGTCACTGGAATGGAATGTCAAGGTGAGAGTGATCTGCTTACAAAGAAAAAAGGCTGATTTAGACTTTGGGGACAGTTTTCCAAGATCCAACAGAATGGTGGCTTCAGGCCTCTTCGAGAGATAGACTTCCCCCACTCGTGAGGGGGAGGGGCCTGAGTCATCCAATCCTCTTCCAGGCCACGCCCCCAAGACCTAAAGAGCTCCCACTAGGCCCCGCCTCCACTACCTTCCTACGGGGCGGTGCTGGGACCAAACGCTGCACACCAGGCCTTGGAGACACACGAAGCACCCAAACAGTAGCGACTGCTAGACTCCAGCGCACATTTCCCTCCTCCTCCATATCCCGGACAGTGCTAGTGTAGCCTTAGGGCACATTCACTCCGCAGCCACGAGCTGAGTGCAGTAGCAGAAATCTGTTGTTCCAGCTACTTAGGAGGCTGAGGCAAGAGGGTTAGTTGAGTCGATGGCTTTGAATTTGGGCAATGTAGCAAGACCCATCTCGGAGAGAAAGAAAAAAAAAAAAAAAAGAGCCAGGCTTGCTGAAGAAGACAAACAAGATTTTGTGCTGCGATCTGAGGTGCAGCTCAGTGATAGAGCACTTTGTAGCAGCCATGATGGATTGGATCCCCACACTCCCCACCCCCACCCCCAATCCCTGTCAATTTGATTTTGCGCCTCCCCCAGATGCAGAGGCAGCAGCCAGGATTCAGAAGCCAATGGTTCCCCTGGGAGGTGACTCCAAGAGATCCCTAAGAGGGCAATAAGGCTGTGAGGCAGATTTAACTTAAATTTAAGAGAGCGGAAATAAGGCCAGTAAGGCCTTTATCCACCCTCTGATGTTAGTCTGGTCAAAGGACCGGAAGTGGAGGTGAGTGCTGGCCACACCTCGGTCCCCACCCCCGCTCACCCCACCCACCTCTTTGCGCCCCCAGGAGGAATATGTACAAGAGGGCATCCGCTGGACCCCTATTGAGTACTTCAACAACAAAATCGTCTGCGACCTCATCGAAAACAAGCTGGTGAGGGCTGGGCCACCTTGGGGAGGGGTCTCACTGGAGCTGGGCCTGGGAGATTCCAAAACGGGCTGTAGCAGCCGCGGGGCCCCCTTGCTTCACCCTAGGCTCCAGGCCTGCAGCATGATGCTGCCAGTCACCTCATCCATTGATTCTGCCCTTCTGCTTGTTTTTCATATAGTCACTCAACAGACATTCCCCTGCTCAGGGTCGCAGAAGACAAACTTCAAAAGTCTCTGAGCACTAAGCCTCAGGAAGGGAAAAAGGAGCCGGTCATTTCCAGAATGCCCCATCTCCTCCTGCTCCCCAGGAAGCTTTCACAGAAGCTACTCCCTCATAACCAGGACCCCTGCTGCCAGTTCCGTCTCCTTCTGTTTTTTAGTTTTCAATCCAGGCTGGCTTTGAGCTCTCTATGTAGGCCAGGCTGGCCTGTGCAATCCTCCTGCCTCAGCCTCCTGAGTGCTAAAATGACAGGCCTCTTCCCCGATCACCACTTGTGCATTTGGAAGCCCCCGTAATCCTCCATTCTTTCACCCCTTCCCTCCTGCTCTGCCTGTGCTGGCCAGCGGAACGTGGCAGGGCCACAGCACCCGGCATGGCTAAAACCCGCCTGGGCTCTCCCCACAGAGCCCCCCGGGCATCATGAGCGTGCTGGACGACGTGTGCGCCACCATGCACGCCACGGGCGGCGGCGCCGACCAGACGCTGCTGCAGAAGCTGCAGGCGGCCGTGGGCACCCACGAGCACTTCAACAGCTGGAGCGGCGGCTTCGTCATCCACCACTACGCAGGCAAGGTGCGTGACACCCAACGCGTCACCCCAGTCCCCTCTCGGCCCCCCACAGATGCTCTCCCACTGCTGGACTCCAAAGATCCCGCCCGGGCCGCTCCCCATCATCCAGCCAGGGCTGCAGGACTCCGCCCACTGAGCTGTCTCACTGCTAACCCCCAAGCCTCTCCCCTCTGGCTCAGGATGCCACCCAAAAATCTCCCCCGAACTCCAGCCCCACGCAGCACCCCCAACCCACCATCCTGAAATGCAGCTTCCTCCTAACCAAGAACCACCCCACCCCACACTCCAGCACCACAACTCTCATGATCCCAACGCCATCTCCCCCAGGTCTCCTACGACGTCAGCGGCTTCTGTGAGAGGAACCGGGATGTTCTCTTCTCAGACCTGATAGAGCTGATGCAGACCAGTGAGCAGTGAGTGGCCCCGGGCCCAGGGACCTCGGGCAGAAGCCCTACGGGTGGAGGGGGACTGGGGACCACTCTCTCTTTCCCAGAGTTCCTACAAGCCTGCGGGCGTGGCTGCAGAGCCGGAAAGTGGTTCCATTCTAAAAGTAACTATAAATCTTGTAAACTGCCTATCCGTCCATCCACACATGAACAAATAAAGAAAAGGTGGTATTTACACCCAATGGAGTACTCCTCAGCCATAAAGAAGGGTAGATTTGAGTCAACAGATGCAATGTGAGACTGCAGTGCTAAGTCAAACAGCGGAGATGCAGATGGTTAAATATCACAGTTTCTCTTATTCGAGAAACCCAAAGTGTAAATAATTTAAAAGGAGAAATAAAAGATAGATGATAGGTAACAGGGAGGGAGACCTTTGCAGGTGAAAAGAGATCTACGAATGGGGGGAGACGGGAGAGAAGGGGAAGTAAAAGGATTAAGGCCCAGTACAGACTTGTACGATGCTTATGGATGGCAAACCCAAACTAAGAAAATAAATAACTAACAGGAACTCCAGAGGCCGCGGGCACCGTAGAGAGGAGAGCACTTACCCAGCATGCACCAGCCCCTGGGTTCCACCCCCAGCCCAGGCAAAAATAAAACAAAAGGCAAACTAACTCCAGGTCCACAGGGAGCAGTGAATCCTGGGAAATCTGAGATGGGCTCCTTAAACCTCCCTTCCTGGGTGCCCGCCAGCGGGAGAGTTACCCTCTCACCCAGGGGAGACCGAAGGAACACATCAGGCTTCGCGTTTCTAAGTTTGACCTCGTGGGTTTCCATCCAATCACCACCATCTCTGTGCCCCGGGTTCAAAGTCATTCGGTTTTTTCTCCCTCAAAATGTGATACAATCACCAAGCTCAACAGCTGCCAGAGTCTCAGAGCGTGACATCAATCTGGGAAAAGTGGAGCATCGAGACATGAATGTGCACAGCAGGGTACATTCAGGCACATTCAGGGAAATCCAAACCAGGGAGAGCCTGAGTGACTGGCTGATTGATAACTGATTGGCTGGTTAATTACGGACTCCAGGGCCACATGCGGCGGTCCTCAGTGCAAAGGGAAAGTTCTAAAGATCTAAAGGCAAAAAGAGAAGTGTGTGTTCACTTTATTGGTCATGGAAACCCAAGCAGGAGTTAGCATCCGCTCCTTGTGTGTGTGTGTGTGTGTGGGGGGTACCATTCCTGGGCAAGTATTCTGTCCCGAGTGGCTTGTCCAAACTGTCACCGTAGTTTTGCTTTGTTTGGGCTTTTTTGTTTTGTTTTGCTGTACTAAATTGCCTAGGCTGAGCTTGAACTTCAGATTCTCCTGCCTCAGTTTCCCAGCATGCTGGGATGATGGCATGTGTCACTACACATACCTGGCAGCAAGCTCAGGCATGTTCAGGCCACGTTTTGGACTCCTACCTAGCCACACGTGACCGGTGGCTGCCATATTGGAAAAGCACAGAACTAGAGCTGTGGTTTTCCAAGAGGGATCCTGGACCAGCCCCATCAACGTGGCCTGGAAATTTGTTGGAAATTACTGTGTCACCATCCAGACCTTGGGATGAGAAATTTATGCAGTGGTGCCTGGCAGTGTATATTTTCACAAATTTTCCTGGAGATTCTGATGCCTGCTGAAGTCTGAGAACCACTGGGAAAAGCTCTGAGGAAAAACTAAGTAGGTAAAAGGCTAGAGAGAAGGAAGAACATTCATTCTTTATTTTAATTGTGGTAAAACATATAATATAGAGTTTATTTAGTCAGTTAATTGGTTGGATCCTTGGTTGGTTTTTTGAGACAGGGGCTCCCTGTGTAGTACATGCTGGACTCAAACTCATACTCACAGCAATCCTCCTGCCTCAGCCTCCCAAATGCTGGGATACAGGCATGCACCACCATGCCTGTATGATCTGATATTAAATATGTTCACAGTGTTTTGCAACCATCCCTCCTATCTAGTTCCAGAACTTTTTCATCATTTTAATTAGAAGCAAGCGCCCCATTCATTTTCCCTCTGCCAGGGGCAGAGGGACACCCCCTTGGGTGTGCTATGGTACCACACCCCAAGGCGAGGCAGCTGGCATCTTTGTGCATATTTCTTTGCACACAAGTAGACTGGGTCCTAGAAGGAGACCTCCCCTATCACCCAAGATAAGGCTCCACTTAATTTAAATTTCTTCTATTTTACTGGCTACCCAGTCATGCATGACAGCCTTAGTTACTTTTCTTTTAGTTTTTATTTTTTTATACTTTTTTTTTCTTTTTATCAGTACTGGGGATTGAACTCACACCACCTGCTTGCAAGGCAGGTGCTTATGCCGCTGAGCTAAATCCCCAGCCCCTTAGTTTTTATTTTTTTATGAGCCCGCGTTAGTAGTACACAATGATTACACTCTTTTCTGGAGTTGCTGCCTGTACAGGACATATCTTAATTCTTTTTTTATTCCTTCCTCCATCTCAATCTCCTTCCCATGTGAGAAAGATCTATCTCCCTACATTTTTTTTTTTTTTTTTTTTTTGAGACAGGGCATAGCTATGCAGTTCAGGTTGGGCTCACTTTGTAGCCCAGGCTGGCCTCAAACTTGCATCGATCCTCCTGCCTCAGCCTCCCGAGTGCTGTGATTACAGGAGTGCACCACCACACCCAGCCTATCCCCATACTTATTATCTGTCTTTCACTGGATCTTTATTTATATGTTGAGTTTCTCACATGAGAGACACCATGTGACATTTAAGCTCGGCTATCCGACTTACCTCACTGAACATTATGGTCTCAAGGTACCTCGGTCTTCCTACAGATAACTGGAGGAGCTTGTCTTCTTGAATGGTGAAGTACCCTCGTTGTGTGTAAACACCACTGCAGTTTAGAGTTCATTCTGGCTCACAGTGCAGCCAGCAGGCTCCCAGGCAGGGCCACCCATGGCAGGGGGGCCTGGCGGAAGACATGCTGCTCACCTCACAGAGCTCAGGAAGCAGAATCAGGAAGAGAGCAGAGGCTTCCGGGCCAGGCCCTCAGTGACCTGCCTCTTCCAACCAGAACCCAGCTCCAATAGTCAGCCCCATGTCCCCGTGATCCAATCACCTTCCCAGGCCTCTCCAGCGCTCACTTGTGGCTTTAGGGCGACAGCCAGCTATAATGATCCTGCAGACTAGAAAGTGCAGATAAACCAAGGAACCAGGACAACCCACCCCTCGCGTCTCCCCCACCGCAGCTCCTGGGGCACCTAGAGAGCCGTGCTCAGCCACGTGGCCCTGGGCCGAGGGTGCTCTGGGTCCGGCGGCTCCCTGACCCCCTGTCCCCTGCCCAGGGCCTTCCTCCGGATGCTCTTCCCCGAGAAGCTGGACACAGACAAGAAGGGCCGCCCCAGCACCGCCGGCTCCAAGATAAAGGTGGGCCTGGGAATCCCGGGGTCCCGCCGCACACCCGCTGCTCCCCTGGTTCCAGCGTCTCTCCGAGGGCCCCGCTGGCCTGCAGAGACAGCGTCTTCCTCCAGCTCTGGGATTGTTTATGATGCTGCTGGGGCTGGAACCGCACGGGCTGGCACGAGCCCCACCCGTTTTTTCCTTTTAGCGCAGTAAAATTTGCACACCGTACCCCTGCTCCCCTCTCCCGCTTTAGTTCGGCGGCATTCACTGCTGCCTGTGCTGCTCCAGCCACTCCCAGCGTGGACCTCCCAAAGGCTCTCATCTTCCCAGGCTCCACTCTGTCCCCAGGAAAGGCTAAATCCCAGCACCTCCCTGCCCCAAGCGTCTGCTTCTTGTCTCTGTGGACCTGGTGGCTCTGAGGTCTCTTTGGGCATGGAATTGGGCAAGATTTGTCATTTTGTGTCAGCTGATTTCATTCAGCATGGTGTCCTCAAAGTTCCATCCATGGTGTAGCAGGTGTCAGAATTTCCTCCCTTAGCTGGGTGTGGTGGTCCTAGCACTCAGAAGGCTGAGGCAGGAGGATCACCGCAAATTTGAGACCAGCCTGGGCTACATAGTGAACTCAGCATCAGCCTCAGCTACACAGTGAGAGACCTTGCCTCAAAAAAAAGTTTAGAATTTCCTCCTTTCCATGTCCAAGTAATATTCCACTGTACGGAGAAGCCGCATTATTGTCTGTTTATTCATCTGTTGGACGTTGAGTTGCTTCCTACCTTTTGGCTACTGTAACTAATGCTGCTGTGAACACGGGGTCCCATCCTAATAATATGCTAACAAATGTTTGTTTGTTTGTTTTTGAGACAGGTTCTTGCTTTGTAACCCAGGCTGGCCTCAAATTACAGTGAGGCCAGGCAAACCTGAACTCAATGATTCTCCTGCCTCAGCCTCCCAAATGCTAGGAATTCAGGCTCGCAGTCATTTATCAAACACTCATTTGGTGCTGATGGCAATCGGGACACTTTACACATGTGAGGGACTAGCTCAGGCCCACCTGGGAGGATGAAAAACCAAGGCTCAGAGAAGGGTGGTCTGTCACCTTGGTCACACAGCAGAGTCTGGGTCTCTCATGCTGCTCCCCAGCACCTCTGCTTCTCCCTGGGGTGACTAAAACACACAACCCAAGCCAGGCATGGTGGTGTGTGCCTAGAATCCTAGCCCTTGGAAGGCTGAGGCAGAAAGATGGCAAGTTCAAGCCCAGCCCTGTCTCAAAAAAGGGCTGACACATGACCCAAGACTGATCTCTCAAGCACACACACAGTTCCCTACTTCTAAAGTCCCTGAGCCCTGAAAGAGAAGCAAAAGTGTCCCAGGCAATTTGTTTTCTTGAAGATTCTGTGATTCAGTCAACAAACATTTCCTGAGCACTTCCCATGAACCCAAGGATGTGTTGAATGCGACAAAAATAAGAACTCCTATCCCTGAGTTGGAGCTGGTGACACCCAATGCCAGTGCCCCTCATGAGACCCAGGGGTGTCCAAGCCTTGGGTGTGGAAGGGCTGAGGAGAGGGGGCATCTGCGTGCCCCTTACCTCAGCCTTCTCCTGTGACCCAGAAACAAGCCAACGACCTGGTGGCCACCCTGAAGAGATGCACACCCCACTACATCCGCTGTATCAAGCCCAACGAGACCAAGAGGCCCCGAGACTGGGAAGAGAGCAGGTGACGCCCCTCAAGCTGCCACCTGAGCCCACCCGGTGCCACCTGACTGTGCACTGTCTCCAAATCCAGGGCTCCCTCTTGCCTGGCCCCTAAGAACAGGGTGCAGTTAAAGTTAACAAAGACACCCCACACTGCAGACCAGCACAGCCCCCCTACTGACTCCCCAAAGGTGACCCTAGGTCTAACAGAGGGTGAGCACAGACCCCTTGCCCCACACAGCCCCCCAAGAACGGACTGCCAGGCTGGGCCCCAAAGCGCACCCCTGGGCACGAATCCGGACCCCAGCCCCTGCTCTGCCCTTGCCCCCTGCCCCCAGGGTGAAGCACCAGGTGGAGTACCTGGGCCTGCGGGAGAACATCCGGGTGCGTAGAGCCGGCTTCGCCTACCGCCGCCAGTTCGCCAAGTTCCTGCAGAGGTCAGGCGCCACCCCACCCCCACGGTGCACCCCACTCCCCACCCCACACACCCCCACCGCACACCCCCTGCCACACTGCCCTAAGCCGCACAGTGCTCTGCACCCCCAGGTATGCCATCCTGACCCCCCAGACCTGGCCGCACTGGCGTGGGGACGAACGCCAAGGCGTCCAGCACCTGCTTAGGGCCGTCAACATGGAGCAGGACCAGTACCAGATGGGGGGCACCAAAGTCTTCGTCAAGAACCCTGAGTCGGTAAGTGGGGAGGGGGCGAGGGAGAGGAGGGGAGACCAAAGACAAACGGAATGGGAAAGAAGAGGAGAGACTGAGAGAAACTGGGAAGGGGAGGAAGAGGGGGAGACTGAGGGAGCCAGCGTGAGGAATGGAAGAAATAGAAATAGAGGCTAAGGAAACTCAGAGACTGTGTCACCCCAGATACTCCAGAGGCTGAGGCAGGAGGATCCTACAGAGGGAGTTCAACACAAGCTGAACTTCACAGAGAGACCCTGTCACAAAAATAAATAACGCAATGTAAATAAAAATTTAAAAAGCACTGGGGGAACTGGAGATTTAGCTCAGTGGCATAAGCGTCTACCTTGTAAGTGTGTGTGGCCATGAGTTCGATCCCCAGTACCGATTAAAAAAAAAAGCACTGGGAATGTAGTTCAGTGCAAATAAATAAGTACACAGTCAAGAAATTATCTTCAGGGAGCCTTTCTCTCCCCAAAGAGTGCTTATGTTGCAATGAGTCTAATTTGGTATTTTTTTCATTTTCTGTGGTGCTCAGGATAGAACCCAGTGCCTCACCCATATCAAGCACCTGAATTTTTTCTTTCCTTTTTTTTTTTTTTTTTTTTTTTTTTTGGATACCAATCTTGCCCTTACCAAGCAGCTGCTTACACTACTGAGCTAAATCCCCATCCCCAAGCACCTGATTTGAATTTTGTTTTGATGTTTATTGGGGTAGGGTGGCTTCTGTCTTGTTTTTTGTTTTGTTTTTGCTTGCTTTTTTTGTCTTTTGTTTTTGTTTTTTGAGACAAGGTCTTGCTATGTAGTTCAGGCTGGCCTTGAGCTCACTTTGTAGCCCAGGATGGTCTTGAACTTGCAAGGATTCTTCTGCCTCAGCCTCCTGAGTCTGGGATTACAGGCATGTGCCATCACACCCGGCCTTTTAGTCTTTCTGAGACAGGGTCTTGCTGTACCATTCAGGCTGGCCTTTGTAGCCCAGGCTGGTCTCCAATTTGGTAAAGATCCTGTGCCTCAGCCTCCTAAGTGCTGGTAGTAGGCCACCACGCCTGGCTATATGGTTTGGTTTTTCAAGACAGTGTCTCACTATGAAGCCCAGGCTGGCCTCGAATTCACAGTGATCCTCCTGCCGCAGCCCTCTAGTGGATATGCACCACTATGCCCAGCTCCAGTTTTATTTTCTACAGTATTTCCCACCTTCACTGTCAGCATCATTCGGTTTTTTTTTTTTTTTTTTTTTTCTGTCTTTTTGAGACGGGGTCTCACTATGCAGATCAGGCTGGCCTTGAGCTCACTTTGTAGCCCAGGCTGGTCTCGAACTTGCAACGGTCCTCCTGCCTCGGCCTCCAAGTGCTGGGATTTACAGGTGTGTGCCGCCGCGGCTGGCTAGCATCATTCCTTGTATCACTAATTTTCTATGTGTGTGTTTCCCGGGCCTCTGTCTGCTCCAATTGATTCACACACACAAATGCTGTTTTGTTTGAGTCTGATTTGGGTTTACTGGGGATAGAACCCAGGGTCTCACACTGACCTATGTCCCCAGTCTTTTGTGCTTTATATTTGGAGACAGCATCTTACTAAGTTGCCCAGGTTGGCCTTGACCTTGCAGTCCTCCTGCCTCAGCCTCCCAGAGTGCTAGAATTGCAGGGATCCGCCACCACACCTGGTTTGGAGGAGGATAAAAAATCTGGCCACAATGTATGCCTACTTGGGTGGGTGGCTGTGAGCAGAAGGGTGTGAGTGGCAGGGGCCTGGGGGAAACCGAAACAGGAGCCCCCAGGAGGCCCTGCTGCTGGATCAACTGCCACTCCTTCCGACCCAGCTTTTCCTCCTGGAGGAGATGCGAGAGCGGAAGTTTGACGGCTTCGCCCGCACCATCCAGAAGGCCTGGCGGCACCATGTGGCCATACGCAAGTACGAGGAGATGCGGCAGGAAGGTGAGAGGTGGGGGTGGCAGATCGCGGGAGCTGGGCCGCTCCGGAAGGCAGGCCATGACCAGGGCTCCCGGCCTCGCACGGACAGCTTCCAGCATCCTGCTCAATAAGAAGGAGCGGAGGCGAAACAGCATCAACCGCAACTTTGTCGGGGACTACCTGGGGCTGGAGGAGCGGCCGGAGCTGCGCCAGTTCCTGGGCAAGAGGGAGCGAGTAGACTTCGCTGACTCGATCACCAAGTATGACCGCCGTTTCAAGGTGAGGCGGCAGCTGCCACTGGCCGCATCCGGGCCCTTGTCGCCAGCTCCGCACCAAAACCCTTAGCACAGATGAACCCATTCCCGGTACCTGGAAACAAAAATAGCAACTCATATGCCTTCATCTAGAAGGGGGGACCCCTCTCCCTGACCCACACACTTGCACCTAACTACCAGCACCACCCCTCTGCCTGGGCCCACCCTCCAAGGCCAGGCTGGCCGAACCCCGGGTTCCAGCCACCAACCACCAACCTCTGGTCCCACACGCCCACAGCCCATCAAACGAGACCTGATCCTGACCCCCAAGCATGTGTATGTGATCGGGCGAGAGAAGGTGAAGAAGGGCCCCGAGAAGGGCCAGGTGCGGGAAGTCCTGAAGAAAAAGGTGGAGCTCCAGACCTTGCGGGGAGTGTCGCTCAGGTGAGGCTGCGCCCCGCCTGCCCCTGTGCCCTCAGCCGCCCTCGTCCTCGTCTGTCACCCGCTCCTGACCCTGCAGCCCTTTCTCGTGCGACCTGCCGGTCAGTCAGTCACCTGTCCCACGTCCACGCACGATCCCGGCTCGGACATACACACCTGCCACTCACCAGTCACCAGCTGCCCTCCCCTCCCCCTCCCCAGCACCCGGCAGGACGACTTCTTCATCCTCCGTGAGGACGCGGCCGACAGCTTCCTGGAGAGTATCTTCAAGACCGAGTTCCTCAGCCTGCTGTGCAAGCGCTTCGAGGAGACGGCGCGCAGGCCCCTGCCCCTCACCTTCAGCGACACGTACGTCCCCGCCTCTCCTGCGCCCCCTGCGGTCCCCAGCGGGCGCCCCCTAGCTTCCTCCTTTCCCCACAGACTACAGTTCCGGGTGAAGAAGGAGGGCTGGGGCGGAGGCGGCACCCGCAGCGTCACCTTCACTCGCGGCTCGGGCGACCTGGCTCTGCTCAAAGCCAGCGGCAAGAGCCTCACGGTCAGCGTCGGAGACGGACTGCCCAAGAGCTCCAGTGAGTCTGCGCAGAAGCCGGGGCGGAGCTAAAGAGGAAGAGGCGGGACCATGGGGAGGGCGGGACCAGTGAATAGACCAATCAAAACGTCAGGGGCGTGGTCAGTGAGGTTGGGCAAGTCTAGGCGAGGGCTGTGGAGGGGCGGATCTAGAGGGTGAGACAAAGAAGACAGCCTTGGAGTAGTGGCCAATGAGGAAGAGGAGACTGCAGAGGCGTGGCCAGAGAGGGACCTCGCCAGAGCTGATTAATATGGGGGCGTGTCCTGGGGTGGGCGGGCCCAACGCGCAAGGCTCCTGAAGAGTGGTACCGATTACTATGCGTAACTAAAGGGCAGTGCTGATGAGAGCCAATGGGCCTGAGGGGCAGGGCCTGGAGGCGGGGCTACAGCGCGGAGGGGACCTGGAGGGGGGCCAAGAGCTAGGTCTGGCCTGGCCATCCCCAAAATGCCTGCATCCTTTCCAGAGCCTACGCGGAAGGGAATGCCCCAGGGGACACACCGAAGGCCAGCCCAGGCCTCGAGAGGGGCAGCCCCCGGGCCGCCCAGAGGTGAGGTGAAACCCTAAGTGTCTTCTCTTGCTTTTAGTGGTCTCTGGCCTAAGCCAGAAGCACAGTCACAGAATCTAACAAGCACCGTGGCCCAGAACACTGCCCTGCCCTTTGCTGAATACATGCTAAGCTTAGCCTGGCCTTCAGCATCCAATCTCTTGTCCCGGCCTACACCTTTCCCACTGCATTCTGTTTTGCCATCCCAACCCATTTATTCTTACTTCGCAGCCTTTGCTTGGGCTGTTTTCTCTGTTTAGCTCCCAAATTCCCACATCATAAGCTGTTATTCACCCTCCAAAACCCACGCACAAAAGCCCTCTTATCGAGAGGATTTCCTGAGAAGAACTTCCCTCTAAGCTCTCTGATCCCCGAGGTCTCTCCCCCAGACCCATTCCTTACCACAGTGGGTAGACAGTTGGCTGCCTCTTCCCTCAGACTGGTAACTTGGAGCCACGTGCTGCTCAAGTATGTGTAGCACCTTCCTAACAAATACCCCACGCTTCTGCCACAGCCCTGGACCGAAACGGGGTGCCTCCCTTAGCCAGAGGAGGCCCCTTGGCCCTGGATATCACTCCTGGAAGGAGCTCCCAGCGGCCACCCCAGGGTCCTCCGTCCTCCCCACTGGGGGCCAGCAGACGGCACCGGGCTCGGCCACCCTCAGAGCACAACACAGAATTCCTCAACGTGCCCGACCAGGGAATGGCGGGGTAGGTGGAGTGGAGGGCAGCCCGAGGAAGTGGATGGGAGGGGGTGTCTGGAGCTGTGATGAACACCCCTCTCACCACCCCCCTCCAGCATGCAGAGGAAGCGCAGCATAGGACAGAGACCTGTGCCCGGTGTAGGCCGACCCAAACCTCAGCCACGGTCGCACGGCCCGAGATGCCGGGCATTGTACCAGTACATAGGCCAAGACGTGGACGAGCTCAGCTTCAACGTGAATGAAGTCATTGAGATCCTCTTGGAAGGTACGTGCCCGGGGCAGGGTGGTGGTTGGAGTGGCCAGCAACCTGACAGAGCTGTGCACTGCCCCATTTCCCTTCATCCTTACTTCCCATCCTTGGCATCCTTACTTCCCATCCGAGGCAACCAGCTCACATCCCAGCAGAGATGTCGCCAAGCCAGGTGGCAGAGCCCAGCTGCCCTGGGTCACAGCTACTGGCCTTTGTCCCACCCCTGCTTCCACCCCAGTACTGAGGATTAAACCCTACACCTTCGCATTGGGCTATATTCCCAGCCCCTTTTGTATTTTGTTTTCTTTGTTTGTTTCTTTTTTGAGACAGTGTCACACTAAGTTGCCCCAGCTGGGGTCCAGCTTACAACTCTCCTGTCTCAGTCTCCTAGAGCACTCCTTAGACCACAGGCCTGCACCATGACTAGGAAAGACCTGGAGCCGGCCTGCAAGCTTTCTCCGGGCCGCTACAAGCTCTCTTCTCCCCCCACAGATCCCTCAGGCTGGTGGAAGGGCCGGCTACACGGCCAGGAGGGCCTCTTCCCGGGAAACTATGTGGAGAAGATCTGACTTGGGGCCTGGGACCATGTCCTTCTCAGGAGAGCAGATGTTGCCAGCAGGAGCTGCGATGTCCTCAGCTACTTCGGCCACAATGCTTAATCCCAGGGCCTCTGTTCCAGCCCCTGGATCTGGGAGTGCCTGCTGCAACAACCCCTCCTGAGCCCTGATCTCCTCCACTTGTTGCCCAAGCCTCTATTTCTTCTTGTGTCAAACAGGATTAAGCTGGGTGTGGTAGGGGCATGCTTGTCTTCCAGCTTTTTGGGAGGCTGAGTCAGGAGAATCTCCAGTGTCAACCCAGACTGGGCAATCTAGCAAGACCTTGTCTTAAAAAGGGGGAAATAGGGCCGGGGATTTAGCTCAGTGGTGTAAGTGCCTGCCTTGCAAGCGCAGTCATGAGTTCGATCCCTGGTACCAAAAAAAGCGGGGGGGGGGGGGGGGCTGGAGATGGGGTTCAGTGGTAGAGCGCTTACCTAGCAGGCATGAGGCCCTGGGTTCCATCCCTAGGACTGCAAGAAAACACAGCCAAACAAATCAAAAGCAGGACTGATAAGAACCTACCTCCTGGCTGCTTTGTGTACAAAATGAATTGTCTTATCTTATTGATGAAGTGCTGGGCATGAGGCAAAGGTGGAGGACTTTGATTGGTGTGACTTCGCTCTCCTCTCATCATCCAGACAATACACATATGGGAAGCACAACTGTGGGTTGAATTACTGAGCATGTAACAGGGATTGTGTGCTCACAAAACATTCCCATTTATAGATGGGAAAATAGAGGCTCGAAAAGGCCTCTAACCCTTCCCCATGATCCTACAGAGCCAGACTTTCATTCTTTTGTCCCCCTGCCCCATCCAGCAGTTTGGATCAGCAGGGAGTCCTGGTCTGGGCAGAGCCCAGGCTTTCCATTCTGGGCACTCGGTCTGTACCCAGGCTGAGAGAGGAGCCAGGCGGCTGTGGTCAGAGGGTGATGATCGGGGAGCCAGGAAGACTGCAGCTGGTCAGGGTCAGGTCTTTATTTTTCTGTCCTGGAGGGTGGAGCCAGGGCCTTTCACAGCTCAGCTCTGGATGACAGGTACCACTTGAGGTGCTAAGCTGGTATGAGGACCCAGTGGGCCTCGGACACCTATCCTTCAGAGATGGGGTGAGGAACCCAGGAAAGACTTCCACAGAGGCCAGCCGCAACTTCCCTTCCAGCATTTACCTTGCAAAGCCCAGCTTGACAGGAGGAAAAGAATCACAAGTCTGTGACTGGCTGGTGACAATGTTGCTCAATCACTGTGCAAAAAGCATTTCACAATCCCCGATAGCCCCCGAATCCTGCTTTCTGTTGTGTTTGGTGGGGGGATTGGTTGGTTTTAGTGCCACTCCACAACCACCACTGTGTGCTTCTCTTTCTGTAAGACTTGGACCAGGAGAGGACGGGGAGGGAACTTTGTAGGCCATCAACCTGGGCTGGGCATTTCCTGAGTGCGGAAAAGACACTGGACAAGGTGTGATGATGTGCACCTGGCATCCCAGCTCTTGCAACCCTGAGGCAGGAGGTTAGGGTTACCCTCACCCTAACCCTCTGCTGCAAGCTCAAGGCCAGCCTGAACAACCAAACAAAAGACAGGGAGCTTCCATCTCCCTTCTCCACCCTGCTGCTTCAGCTCACTAGGAAGGCTGTTTGCCCCTCCCAGCACTTCCCTCCACCTCCGCCTGCACAGTCCCTGCCCCAAATGCCATGGGGGGCACCCGGCTGGTGGAAAGTAAGGCCTTGTCGGAAACATGGCTGATGAGGCTGGACAGCTTGCAGGGCACGGATGGACAAGGACTGTGTGGTGTACTCTAACCCATAGCATCTCATAACTAGGCATTTTGGGGCTGCAGACCTGTCACCTTGACCATGCCCACTCATCAACCCCATTTCCTGTGGGCTCTGTCACAGAATTTCTTAAATCCGGTCCCTCCCTTCTGAGAGCTCACCTTGCCCTTCCCTGCATTGCAGCAACATCCCCTGGTGTGCACACTCGCCACACACACAAATACACGCACACACACCTCCTCACTTTGTGGCAAAATGACCTTTTTTTTTTTCCTTCTTTCTTTTTTTTTTTGGTCTTTTTCATTTTTATCGGTATCAGGGATCGAACTCACGACTGCCTGCTTGCAAGGCAGGCCCTTATGCCGCTGAGCTAAATCCCCAGCCCCAAAATGACCTTCTTTAAAAAAAAAACAAATGTATTTTTAACAGAATGACTGCTCATTAAAAGAGAAATAATTTAAGGGCCAGGGATTTAGCTCAGTGGCATAAGCACCTGCCTTGCAAGTGGGTGGTTGTGAGTTCAATCCCCAGTACTGATAAAAAAAAGAGAGAGAAATAATTTTTTTTAATTTTTTTTTTTTTTTTTTTTTTTTTTTTTTTTGGTCTTTTTCCTTTTTACCTGTGCCGGGGATCAAACTCATGACTGCCTGCATGCAAGGCAGGCACTTATGCCGCTTAGCTAAACCTCCAGCCCTGAGAAATAATTTAAAACAACAGGAAAGTGTGACAAGTCAGTTTCTCTTGAAAAATCCCCGCTGCCCGCCCCAGATTTTTGGAGGTCTGTCATTGTCTGTCTGCTTTTGAGGTGCTGGTGACCCAGCCCTGTGCTTGCCAGGCAAACACTCTACCACCAAGCTACACCCTGAGCTGTGATGATCTTTTGGTTTTGTCTGCAATACTGGGAATGAAACTCAGAGACACTCTACCAATGAGCTACATCTCCAGCTCTGTTTTTCTTTAAAGACCGGACTATAGAAAAATCTTTATTCTGAAACGATTTCAAATTTTCACAAATGTAATAAGAATAGTACAAAGATTTTCCATATATAGAAAATAGAAAATTCCCCAACGATTAACACTCTGGTGCATTTGGATTCTCATTCTCTTGGCTGTGCTCTAATCAGGAATGTGTGTACATAGGCACATATGTACATAATCATTTGCAAAGACATGTTTGTCTTAAATCATTTGAAAATAAATAGCAGGTATTATGCTCTTAATCCTAAATAGATCAGTTTGCTAACAATACAGACATTCTTTCCTATAACCACAGAAAACAACCAATAAATTTAACAATGGTACAAATTATACCAACCCTCTACCTACTCTGCCAACTCTCCTATAATGATCTTTACAGGGATGCTTTTTACCCCTAGTCCAGAAACTAGTAATTTCAAGTATTACATTGTTGTCTTAAAATCTGATTTAAAATTGTGTAGGCTTTACAACTTTTAGTTCATTTCAAAACTTAAATAATAGACTTTAAACTGGATGTGGTGCTGCATGCCTGTAACCCAAGCAGTCAGGAGGCTGAGGCAGAAGGATCATTGAAGTTTGAGAGCAGCCTGAGCTACAAAGTGAGCTCAAAGCCAGCCTAAATTGCACAGCAAGACTTTGTCTCAAAAAGACCAAAAAATGGCCGGGGATTTAGCTCAGTGGCACAAGTGACTGCCTGGCAAATGTGAGGTCGTGAGTTCCATCCCCTGTGCCAAAAAAAAAAAAAAAAAAAGAATTTTTATTTTTATTATTGTTTTGGAATTTCAACAGGTTCACTTTTCCTGTTTTTTTTCTTTCCATAAAAGATTAAAAGCTGCTTAGAGAAAGGGTTAATTCTATAGCTAGAACCAGGAAGCTAGATTATTGGCCCAATATACCGCAATCTTGCAGTTATGCGATGTAAGAGAATGGTCAAAATACTGAAGTTGGCTCCCAAAAGAAGCTAGAAAGAAACCAATTTGAAGAGATTCTAGCCAAATCTAGAACAAGTTAAATATCAAAATAAATCTGAAACATAATGGATTACAGCCCACCATATAGAGTAGGAAACCACTCTGGGATAAAAAGGATAAAAGCACAATGCATTGTTACATTGTAGCAATGACTTATAAATACACAGAAGTGGAAGAGTTAGAAAAACCACAATTTTGTGAGCTGCACACAGTGACATGCTTTGTAACCCCGGGTACTCAGGCACAGCCTTTTTCAAAATTTGAGACAAGGCCACCTTAAGTTGTCTAAGCAGGACTTGACCACTCTCCTGCTTCAGCCTCCCTAAGTGCTTAAGGGCGTATACCAGAGTAACTGGCTGATTTTTTTTTCTTTTGTTTTTTGATTTGGTTTGGTTGGGTTGGGTTTTGGGATTGATCCAAGGGCCCAAGCACACTAAGTAAATGTTCCTCTCTGGTTTTGTTTTAATGGTTTTCTTTGAGCACCATCTCCTATATAGCCCAGGCTGGCCTCCAACTCACAACCCTCCTGCTTTAGCCTCTTGAGTGTTGGGATTACAGGCATGCACCTGCATGTCTGGCTCTTTCCTGTTTTTCAGTGTCTCCTTCTAACCATCTTTGCTGCATTCAGAAGTGTATATGAAAATCTTTGTCACACACATGGAAATACACTGCTTACAAAGTCATCAGTGACCTAGGCCAGGCATGGTGGTGCACACCTGCACCACCTCAGGAGGCTGAGGCAGGAGGATTGCTGTGAGGCTAGCCTGAACTGCATAGTGAAACCCTGTCTTAAAAAAAAAAATACAGTGACCGAGGTCTCACTGAGTACCTCTGTCAGGGCTGACTAATGCATTCTACAAATCTAATGTCCAAGATCTATTTTACCATCCCCAGCAAAGCCCATCCTCCCAATGACTACCAAAATTACATGCTGTTACCTCTTCCTGCTAAAAATTCACCAGTGGTCACAGTAGAAACCACAACTATTTCTTCTCCCTTCCACAAGGGTATTCTTCATGACCCATCCAGCAGCAAGGTCACCTTCTGACCTCCAACATCCTCCCCTTACACGCAGAAGCACACAGGTCTTCTCACTCCTCCTTGGCAAAGCCTAGTTGGTATTTCCACCAGCTTCTCAGAGCGCTCTGCTGCTCGGACCTTACACTCCCTCACTTCTCAGCCAGCAGGCAACACTCAGTGGCCACCTCCTCAGAGGGGTTCCCCTGACCCACTGCTATCTCATCCTTCTGTTTTGTTGTGTTGTCTTAATTGTTCCGAACTGGACAAATAGCATATCTGAGTTTGTCGATTTATTGTTTCTTCATTTTAAGATGCAAGTTCCCAGAGTCCTGGGATTGCTGTCTGTCCTGCTCACCTCTGGGTTTCCAGCACCTAGGTTGGTACTGAGCACACAGTAGGCGCTCAAGGAACGCAGGCTGGATAGGAGACCCACGTCACCCCAGGAGACACAGGGCTCCGCATCCATTATCCAGCACACCTCTCCAGCCTAAAGTTTCAACTGTTTATTAAAGCCTAAACGAGGCTAGGCAGAGGGGACACGCCTGTAACTACAGCACTCTAGAGGCTGAAGCAAGATCACTGTGAGTTTGAAATCAGCCTAGGCTACAAAGTGAGTTCAAGGTAGCCTGAACTGCATAGTGAAGCCCTGTCTCAAAAAGACAAAATAAAAATAAAAATAAAGCCTAACCGTCAGCGGGGAAAGGGGATAGGAGAGGCGTTCACCTGTCATACCAGTACTCAGAAGGCCCAAGCTTAGGGATTGCCAGGTGTTTGAGGCCAGCGTGGCTACATAGTGAATACAAGACCAGCCTGAGCTACACAGTAAGACCCTATCTCAAAAACCGAACAAAAAAGCCCTAAAGATACGTCAGTTTGTTTCTTGCACATAGCTATTAAAACAGACCCATTCCAACTGCAGAATTAGGTGCTCTGAAAAATCTGACGACTGTGGTCAGTGTTAATTTCCTCCAAAAAGAAGGCCCAATCAGAAAACAAAAACCCCTGTTGTTTAGTGCCCTCCAAGGTTTGGCGATGGGATGGGTCAATAGCAGATAAGGGTGTCCATTTTGCACGGGAAAGAGCCCTCATATCGGATCTCTGTGCCCTGCAACTGCCCCTAGGTGGCAGGTCCGCACCAGGTCCACTCTGCGGTCCAGGAGATCCAGTCTCAGACCACGCCCCCTCTGGAAACGTCACACGCAGGCTCCGCCTCTGTTCTCGCGAGAGCTGGGAGGCAGAAAATGGTGTTGATGTGAGCGCGAGCTCGCAACGCTGAGGAAGTCACTGCCACCTGATCTGAAGCCACTGGAACCCCAGAAACAAGAGTTCGAGGGGAGCGGAGGATGGTGAGCGCGGCGCCGGGGACGCGGGAGCGGCGGAGCAGCGGGAATTGGCAGGGAGCGACGCTATTTGCGTGCACACCCTCCGGGCGACCCCGCCCCCACATCCGGGCACTTGCGTCAGTCGGCGGCGTCGTTTCCCTACTTCCGGGCCGCCCTGGGCAGGGTCACGCCCACCAGGCTCGGACTCCGCTCCTAAACCACACATCTGAGCCTCAGTACCTCCAAATTGGTCTGCAGAGCTCGAGCCTGGCGGGCATATCCACATCATCATACACTCCGCTTCTAGCCCCTCTACGATCTATCTGTCGCTGCTCAGTTCCGAGCCCCGACTTTTTAGCCTTGGCCCCGCCCTCCTAATGTTGGCCACGCCCATCACCCTGGCCACGCCCCTGCTTTTTGCACCTTCCTCTTGCCCAAGTTGGAGATGGAGCGATGCTTCCCTCACATGCGTGAATCCCAGGAGATCATCTCTCCTGCGATGTAGGCAGGAACTCGATCCGCCTTATTTTGCTGGTGACTCCTTAGAATGCGGGGGTGACTGAGTGATATCTGGGGCCCAAGGATTTAGGAGTGCAAGCCTAGAACCTAAACTGGCCTCTTCTGCCTCTTCTATCAGGAGGAGGAATCGTCGGAGCCCAGCCCGGACATGCTGGCCCCTGCAAAGCCCAGCTCCAAAGAGATCGACAAGGAGGGGTTGTCTCCACTTGTGGCTACTTCGGCCACCTCCTCTTCCTCCATGGAGGAGGAACCTGGCCCTGACAGGCCAGCCACGCCCCCGGCGTGGGAATGTGGAGGGTCAGAAGGGACACAGCAGGTTGCCTCCCCAGCTTCAGATGGCTGCCAGACTGACCCTGGACCAAGCCCTTGCCCGCCCAGCATAGTACCAGGGACCAGTGAGGACCTCCGGCCTCCTAAACGACGCCCACCGCCAGGTGACAGCAGTAGGAGTGAGGGGCACATAGTGACCCCAGCATGGGGTTCATCTACATGGATGTCACCCTTTACTGAGCGCCAGACTGTGGCTCCAGTGAAGAGCCAGGCTGATCCAGCCCCTACCCTGAGTTCTGGGGGTGGGGGTGGGGCTTGTGTAGAGCCCTGCGGATGGGGCCCCAGCAGCACCAAAGAGGAAGAATTAGTGACCTGGCCCCTCTCTGTGTAACCTGCAGCCACACAAATACCATGCTCTAGCCCTGGCTGCTTCCTCAGTTTCCTGAGTGTTCGTGACCTGGCACAGCACCTTCGTACCCACTGTCCACCTACCCAGTCCTTGGAAGGTAGGTCAGGGTTGCGGTGGGAGGCAGGTCAGGGTGGGAGGCAGTCAGCGCCCCCTCGGACCTTCCTTGGCCACCCCACTCCATTCCTCTGCCCTCCACCCTGCCAGGCAAGGTCTTCCGCTGCTCGGCCCTGAGCTGCACAGAGAGTTTTCCGAGCATGCAGGAGCTGGTGGCCCACGGCAAGCTGCATTACAAGCCCAATCGCTACTTCAAGTGAGACCCCGGTCACCCTGACACTGTCTTTGGGGTCCTGACCTTTGTGTCTTCCTTGTCTGCGGGTTGGGTCTGGGTGGAGGTGGCCTCGGATAAGCCCCGCCCTTCCGTGCGCAGAGGAGGACACGAGCCAAGCAGGAGACCCTTGGCCCCTGGCCGAGCCCGGGAGGGGCGGAGCATAAGTGCGGCTCCGCCCAGCCCTGCTTCTGACGGCTCCAGTGGAAAACTAGACTTCATTCTCCGTCTTTTCAGCCCTGCCAACTGCAAGGACCCGGAAGGGTCGCAACCACCCTAGGGGAGGGCTACTTGGGTCCAGGCTCCCCACGGACCTCCAGGTAGCAATGGCAAGGACCCTTCCTCTAGGCCCTGGAGTCTCATCCCAGCCCCGTGCCCGCTCCAGGTGTGAAAACTGCCTCCTGCGCTTCCGTACGCACCGCTCGCTCTTCAAGCACCTGCACGTTTGCGCAGAGCATGCTCAGAGCCCGGCCGCACCGCCGCCCCCCGCCCTGGACAAGGAGCCACCCGCGCCCGAGCGCCCCCCGGAGGCTGACCCCGCGTCGGCGCCCGGCCTGTCGTTACCGCTGCTCGAGCCCTTCACGACCCCCGCCTCTGCTCCCACTGGGTCCTTCCTCCCTTACTTGAACCCGGCGCCTTTTAGCCTCAGCCCCCCACGCCTGCGACCCTTCCTGGCCACCGCTCCCGGGCCGCCAACGTCCAGCGCGGCTGTCTGGAAGAAGAGCCAAGGTGAGCGTGGGAGGTGGTGAGAGGGCGGGGGGGGGGGGCCTGGTCGTGACCTTGACCCGCCCCTCTCCAGCAGGTCCTGGCGGCAGTCCCCGAAGACCGCAGGGCGGCTCCGACGCGCCTTCAGGTGCGTGCAGGTGACCACCTGGGCGGGGCGGAGGGGCTTGTTTTCCCTTGGATACTGGTGGGGCAGCAGTGCCCGCCCCTTTTCCAGGTGGCCAGAAGTGCCGGTCCTTGAAATACAACATTTTGCATTTAAATCACTGGCCCCTGCGCCTTCCTCTGCGCCGGCTTTCCGCGTAAAACTGCACCCTGCTCCTCTTGGAGCCATACTCCCCCCTGCGGTGGTTCTGGGTACGGGAATGGGGAACTCGCGAGAGGCTTAAGTTTAGTGCCCTCGAGGACGGGGACAAGAAGAAGCGGATCCGGCCGCCCCAACCCAGGCGCTCCGGAGCGGAGGGGAGGCGGGGTGAGGTCTGGCGCCCACCACCCGTGGCGGACCGGCGTCCGGGGTGGCGCACGGACTGACCGGCCCCGCCTGCCTGCCCGCAGTGCACGCGGCCCCGAGCCGCATCGTGTGGGAGCACACGCGCGGCCGCTACTCGTGCATGCAGTGCGCCTTCTCCACGGCCTCGCGGCCCGCCATGACACTACACCTGCAGGACCACCGCCCCGGCGCGCCTGCAGCCCCGGCATCCCCGGCGCCCGGGCCGCCGCGCCCCGACGCCCCGGCGGGTAAGGCCGAGGGACTCCGGCGGGGAGAGGGCGGGGAGCCGGAGGCCGGGGGCGGGGCCGACGCGCAGGCGCCCCCTGCCCCGCCCCACTCAAACCCCACCCCGCTTTTGCCTAAGGCGTCGCAGTTGATGTCGGAGGGGGAGCTTCCGGTGTTCTCACTGCTTTGAACCGCACCCCGGTGTTCTCACTGCTTTGAACCGCACCCCGACACTCCGCAGTGAGCTGGGTGGGGCGGAGATTTTTGTAATTTGGGGAGGGGGACAATAAAGGAGGCTCGACGAGCCAGCCGGTGCAGTGTCTGGGTCCCTTGCCCCCTTCGCATGCGTAGCGAGCTGGTGCCTGGCAGACTGAGGCTCTTACCATCACCTCAGCGCTACTACCCGGGTCTCCAGCCAGCCTCGGGCCACCACCCTGTCGAGCTGCGGTGGGCGGCCTGTCCCTAGCGTGTAGCCGGGGTGTGGGTCCGCGGAATACAGCGCCTCTCAGCGCCCTCCTGGCTGGAGTTGGTGACCACGGGCCACATGGGAGGAAGTGTGGTGAGGGCCGATAGGTTAAGGCCAGCCCAGGGGCGCCTGGGCCCGCAGGGTTTCCCTCTGCCACATGGTGAGAAACCAAATTGGGGTCACATTTTAGAAATCTGGTGCCATAGGGCTGGGGATTTAGCTTAGCAGCATAAGCGCCTGCCTTGCAAGCAGGCAGTCGTGAGTTCGATCCCCGGTACCGATAAAAAGGAAAAAGACAAAAAAAAAAAAAAAAAAAAAAAAGAACCTGGTGCCAAACTGCAGACCCAGGCGCTTCCGCGGCAAGTTCAAGGCGTGTTCTGGGACATCCCTTGGGGCAGTTTCACCTCCATCTTGCTCCTGTCTGTCTTAATCCCACTGCCCCCTACCCCAGGGTTTGACTCCCTCCCTCTCAGGGACCCCCTCTTGTCCATTACCCACATGTGAACATCACTAGAAACAAGGTCTTTTCCTGTTACCCCTGCCCTGCCTAGCACTGCCTGTGACCCAAGGCACCCAATGAAGACCCTGTTGTCCCAGGAGCCCGCCCCATCCTCTCCCAGGGCTCCCTTGCTGTATTCCCTCCACCTCAGCGTCCTTCTGAGGGGGGCAGGAGGGTGATGCTGGCCCCTTCAACCCTGAGCCACCTGGCCTCCGGGCCTGCCCCCTGCCCACTGTGACCCTGGCGAACAGTTAACACCTTAACCTGTCTGAAACACCTCTTGCGCTCGCCGCCTCTCCTTGCATGTCCAGCCTTTGCCCATGGGATTCTTACTGCCCCAAGTCCGCTTTAGGGCCCCCAAGTCCCCAGCCAAGTGCGGACCCCACAAAGGTACCCCTGCAGGCCAATCCAAGATGGCCCGAAGCGCTGAGTCTTCACCCCAGAGACGCCAGCAGGGGGCGCCCGAGGGAGGCAGGGGCTGCATGACCCACAGGCTTGGTGGGCCTGTTCACCCAGCTGCAGTTTGTCACCTGGGGTGCGGGCTCAGTGACCCCAGCTGTGGCTGGAAGCAGAGACGTGGGGGGGCCTGGCCCTCACTCACTTCGGGCTTCTGGTTCTCTACTCTGGTTGGAGCCACCTGGGCACAGCCACCTCCATGGGCGCGTGGACCCTGCAGGGAGCCACCAGGAAGGCACAAGACACACACAAGGAAGAAGACAGGTGCACCCCCCTGGCGGCCTGGGTTCTGCTGGCGCTCTCAAAGCACGGGATCTAGGCCTCTGATGTCCGCACCCAGCAGTGGGTCCAGGAGGCTTCGGAGCCTCAGCCATTCATCCTTAGCTTGCCCTCATTGAGCGCCTGGTGTATGCTCATGCCCATGGTCCTGGGAACAAAAAGGATCCAAACCTGGTCATTCCCGACCCCTTACCCCTGGACCTCTCATTACAAGGAAGACCTTTGCCTGGAATTAGTGATGCCCGCCTGTCACTCGGAAGGCCGAGACAAGAGGATCGCTATGAGTTCGAGGAGTGCCTGGGCTCCATAGTGCCTAAGGCCAACCTGGACCACAATAGACAGCAAGATCCTGTCTATTAAAAAAGTCACGGCTAGAGATTTTAGCTTAGCGGCACAGCACCTGCCTGGCTAGCGCAAGGTCATGAGTTTGAGTCCCAGTACCAAAAAAAAAATCACAAAATCTCACTTGGCTCGTTCTGAGTCATGTGTGGTTCTTGCTGCCTGCCCCAAGTGTGGTCCATGCACCAGCAGGCTGGACCCCTCCTGGACCAGACCCTGCACTTCCATAACCCATCTAGGTGATACCTAGGCACCGGTAAGTCTGTTTGGCTGTGTGCTGGCATAACCCCTTTGTGGCCAAGCAGAATCAGGGCTCTGAATTCTCCCACAGGTGCTTTCTCCCTTCACCTCCTGGGGTCAGGGCCACTGACTTCCTGTGGACACAGCCCTGTGGTCAAGGCTCAGCCCAATCTGGCCACCCTATCTCACTGCCTTCCACCTGCTCCGTCTCCAACCTCGTCTTCCCCACCACCTCAAACCACGGAGAGTACAGGCTGTCCACCCACCCCCCAAATCTGCAGTCCCACCGAGGCTTCAGCCATGGGCCGGTGATGGCAGGTGGACCTCTCTCTCCCCAACAGGAAATCCTGTCGAGAGCCAGAGCTGTTGAAAGGAGGAAGAGGAATGGGGTAACTGGCAGGCAGATGGGGCCTGGATGTCCCGCCGGCCCCCACGCCTGTCTTGGTCGCCCCACTGAGAGCTCCCTGTCCTGTGGCTGCCTCTTTGGTAGCCAGTTCCCAGTTCCTGGCTCTCAAGGGAGGGGAGTCAAAGAGTTGGTGACATCTAGAGACCAGAGGCTGAGGCCCAAATCTCAGGGACAGGAGCAGGAAGGACGGGATCTCGCGGGGGACAGAAGGGCCCCACAAGTTCTGAGGACAGACCAGAGTCAGCTCCATCTCCACCTCCTTCCTCCTCTGCCCGCCCCACCCCAACTTCGGCCCCGATCTTGAGTGGAGAAGCCACAGTTACTTCCTGAAGGCAGCTCACGCTGTGCAAGGCATCCACTCAGCGTGTGGCCCATCGCCTGCCTGCAGTCATGGTGAGTCCCTGAGCCCTGGGAGAGGACAGGGGCCCTCGCTGGCCTAGAAGGGAGAGGGACAACAGGTGCACCTTCTAGGCCCTGCCCCAGGGGTGGACACGGACTGGGAAAGCAGCTGGGGAAAAGAAACACACATGGTCCACGTGGAAGGGTCCAAGTGGGAAGCAGCCAGGACACAGCTCCAGCTCCTGGGGCCCCGGCTTGGCCGTCAGGACAGGTTGGGCGGCCCAAGATGATCCCCTCTCCTCAGGGCAACAGCAATGGCAACCTGGGAAGAGGCAGCCTGGGGCAGAGCTGAAGCTTCCTGTGCAGTGACTAAGTGGGTCACACACCCACTGACCGACCCACCAGGCGCCCAAGCGGTGACCTGCTGACCCGGACTTCAACCCACCCAGAGGCACACTGGGCCCCAGCAGTCGTCACCACCTTTCCGGGACACTCTGACTCTCTGGGTGGACAGGGAAGTAGGGCACAGGCTGGGCAGGGTAACAGGGCCCTGCCTTCTGCCAGAGTCACTCAGGCAGCCGGGCCTTGGGTATCTGCCAGCACCCATGACTGTCGGTGTGCGGCCAGCTTCCAGGGCACTTGAGACATTTGGGCTGAGCCATAAGACACTGTGTGGGCTCCATAGGTACCCATGGGTGGGACCTGCCTCCTGGTCCTTATGCCTGCTGGAGAGAATCAGGGACCATGTGAGACTTGCGGCTACATCATCCCCAGATTTGCATGGGTGACCGTCACACAGCATCTGCCTTTGAGTTTTTTGAGTATTGTTTGTTTGGTTTTGTTTGTTTTTGAGACAGTCTCACACTATGCAGTTCAGGCTGGCCTTGAATTCACTAAGTTACCCGGGCTGGCCTGGAACTTGCAGTGATCCACCTGCCTCAGCCTCCCAAGTGCTGGGATGACAGGCACACCACACCATGCCTCCCTTGTGAATTCTGTATTTCTGTGAATGCTTACTAAGCACCTACTATGTGCCGCACACTGCATGGTCAGCAGTGAATGAGCTGAGACTCTGGCCTGCAGCTGACAAGGGCTGAGTGTGCATGGGCATAGAGAAAAAACAAATTTTTAAAACCCAATGAGGCTGGGGTATACCTCAATTGTAGAGGGCTTGCCTGGCCTGAACAAAGCTGTGAGTTCCATCCCCAGTACCAGAAACAAAAATCAAGGTCAGGTGTGATGGCGCAAGCCTGTGATCCCAGCACTCCTCAGGAGGCTGAGGCAGGAGGATCACTATGAGTTCAAGACCAACCTAGAATGCATAGTAAGACCCTGTCTCAAAAAGACCAAAAAGGAGGGGCTGGGGATTTAGCTCAGTGGCATAAGCATCTGTCTTGCAAGCAGGCAGTTGTGAGTTCAATCCCTGGTACCGATAAAAACGAAAAAGACAAAACAAAACAAGCCAGTCAGGATGTATTAAGAACCTACAAGTAAGAAGTTTATATACAGTGGCAGCTATGACAAGAATGACTGCACAAGCCAGGGAGAACAGGGCGTTAGCTTGAAGGCATCTCTAATAAGATACTGGCTCAGAGAGCCGAGTAGGAGAGACCCAGGCGGTGGGGGACGTGTCCTGGGTGGAGGTACCTCCCAGGTGAGGAGAAATGGAGATGCTTGGTGGCTAGGGTCTTTCTGAGCCATTCCTGGAGCCAGGACTCATTTGAAGGGCGTGAGCAGGGAGCAGGGGCCTTGCAGGCTTTTTGCAGCCATTGTGGAGAGAGCTGAGAAAGGCTGGGACGGAGGGGACAGCAGATGAGCGAGGAGCCCGTGACCACAGTCCGGGCAGGGCGGCCAGTTCCTCCAGCTGGGGTGATGGTGGCGGAGGCAGTGAGAAGTGGTTGGAATCCGGATATATTTTGAAATTGGGACAGAAAGGACTGGGGGGATGTGGTGTGTGGTGGCAGAGGCGGGGTGAGCATGCTGGGGGAGACCTGTAGGGGTCCCGAGGAGAGAAGCGCTTGAGGATCAGGTTCTGCTAGGGCTGAGGTCAGGCAAGATCTGGACTGGTGCCAAGGATGTGGTTTCTAGGGGCCTGAGGAGAAGGAAGGGGTCTTCTAGGGGCAGAAAAGAGAAGCAGGCTGAGGGCGAGGTCAGGGGCAGGGTTCAGAGGGGCAGGGTGCAGCAGCAGCACCTGAGGAGGGAGGTAGTATGCTGAGCAGATGGCGTGTCCACGGCTGGCAGTGTTTGCAAGCCTACCTGTCGATCTGGGTGCCTAGGAGAGCCATCAGGACTTCCGGAGCCTCCAAGCCAAGTTCCAGGCCTCTCAGCTGGAACCCAGTGATCTACCCAAAAAACCCCCGAAGCCGGAGGTCAACAAGCTTCTGAAGAAGTTCCCGCAGCCCGAGCTGAGCGAGCAGCCCAAGCAGCCCCAGTTGGCCTGTGTCCCCAAGAAGCTGGCCCAGCCCGAGTTCACTGATCTCCCCCCAAAGCCACCCAAACCTGAGTTTGGTGATCTCACCAAGAAATGGCCTCAGCCCGAGGCCCCTGTGTTTCCCAGGAAGCCCCTGAAGCCTCAGGCCACCGATGCCCCTCAGAAAGCCTCACAGGGGGACCCCCCACAGCCTGAGCTCAGCCACTCTGCCAGGCCCCCCTCAGAACCCAAACCCAGTGCCTTCCCCAAGAAAGCCTGGCAGCCTGCATGCAGCGAGGGGCCCCCTCAGTCCTCGCAGAGCGAACTCCCAAGAAGCTTGCCCAAGAAGCTTCCACAGCCTGAGTTCACTGTGTACCCCAGGAAGCCCCCACAGCTTCAGGTCAGTGGCCTCCCTGGGAAGTTCCCGCTGCAGGCTGAGTGCACTGAAGTCCCCTGTACATCCCCCTCAAAGGTAGGGCCCACTGACCCCCGCCCCCACTCCCCAAAGCCTGACACCTTGCCCCAGAAGCGCCCGCAGCCTCAGGCCAGCATCCCCCCCAAGCGGTCCCTCCTGCAGCCTGAGTCCAGCGAGGTCCCTGTGCAGACTCCCTCAAAGCCTGAGTCAGAGTTCCAGGAACCCCACTCCCTGAAGCCAGGCCGTGGCGCATTTCCCAAGAAGGCCTTGAAGCCTGAGTTCGGGGACCTCACCAGGACGTCCTCAGAGCCAGAATTCAGTGTGATTCCCAAGAGGCCTGGGCAGCCCGAGTTCAAGCCCCTGTCCAAAAAGCCCCTGCAGCCTGAGCTGGGGGGCCTCCCTAGGACATCCTCAGAGCCTGAGTTCAGCATGCTCCCCAGGAAGTTCCCACAGCCCGAGGGCAGGAGGCCACCCCGCAAGTTCTCCCAGGCCGGGTCCCATGCTCTGCCCAAGAAGGCCTCGAAGCCGGAGCGCTGGGATCTCCCTAGAAAGAGCCCACTTCCGGCCTCGGTGTCCGAGAGCTCTCTGTCTGCTGCCATCGCTGGCACTAGCCAGCTTGGAGCTGCCGGGAGGCCCCGCTGGAAGTCTGAGGACCTTAAAGGCCACCAGCCGCCCCCTCGGAGGACTCTGCCCCCAGCCAGCAGCCTGGGGCCTCCTCCAGCCAAGCCCCCACTTCCCCCCGGCCCCTTGGATCTCCAGAGCTTTGGGAGACGCTTGGCAGCAGCCACAGGTGGGTCAGATGAGCAGGGCAGGCCAGGCAGAGGGGGCTGAGGCTCTGAGGCAGTGCCACCTCCCTCTCACGCTCCCTCTGTTCCCACAGGCGTGCGGAGGACCCACTCGTCCGCGGGGACCTACTTGCAGGCCCTCCAGGCTCCACAGTTCCCACAGTGAGTCGCAGTGGGGCGGGAGGGAGGTTGGGCGCAGGTGTGGGCGGAAGGGGCACTCACCCTGGGTGTCACTGCAGGGACCCGGATGAGATCTACGAGATGTATGATGAGGTGGAGCCCACGAAGGACTCCGGTCCCGGCTCCAGAAACAGAGGTTTGTTGGTGGCCTGCCAGGGAATTTCCTCACACAATAGTGGTGCAAGCCAAGGCCCAGCAACAATCAGACCATGCTGGGTGACCACAAGGCAGGGCAGCCCAGAGGTTGACAGCCAGTGAGGATGCTGTGGCAGCCAGTGGGTGGTGGTGGCGGTGTCCATAGACAGCACAGAGGGAACCCAGGATCAGAGATGCTCGGCTGGACTCAGCAATGTGTGAGCCCAGCCGGAGTGCTTGTCTGGGGACCTGATGCCTCACTTCACAGACAGTGTGCTCAAGCTGCTGAGGGGACATCCTGCAAGGCTCGAGAGAGCCACAACGGAGTGGCCCTTAGTTTCCTTCTTCTCTGGTTGTCCCTGGAGCACAGCGGGAGGGTCCAGTAGGCCAGCAAGCCCTCACTGCCTGTACAACCCATCCCACCTTCCCACCAGGGCAGCGAGGCCCTTATTGAACCAGGGCTCGGGGCACCCACTTTTCTGTGAGGGGCTTCCTAGAAGGGACCTAATATGGCTTTCAGGGGGTTCCCACTCCCCCCCAGCCCCTCCCTGGACTCCCACCTTTGGAGCAGGTGGGGCCCAGCATCTCACAGGGCCAGGAGGTAGCCCAAGCCACCCTCACCCTGGAACACCTCTCCGCCCCCATCCCTCCACCCCTGCCAGCCTCCTCACCAGCCAGGCCATCCCACTCATCCCCTGCTAGAATGAGGAAGGAGGCCGGGCCAGAGATGGGACCAGGGAGGTGGCAGCCAGGGTGGGAGGGTGCCTGGCTAGGTGCACATCGGTGTGGGGAAGCTTGCTCCAAGAGCCACGAGTTCAAGCTGCTGAGTGGGGTCCCTGCTCCTTGACTCGGGGGCCTGCCTGTCCTCAGATGAAGTGCCGTCTACCCAGCAAGCCACCAGCAAGCCATCGGCAGAGCCAGAGCTCAGGTAGCACAGGCATGGCAGGGGGACGGGGTGGTGCTGAGCTCACAGGGCCTGTGGAAGGTGGACCCCGGACCCTGCTCAGCACCCCCAATTCTTAGGGGGATCAGGAAGGAGAAGGACCCCCAGCCACAGCAGGTGCCATCCATGGATCCCAAGGTGCTGAAGCAGATGAGGAAGGCGGAGAAGGCAGAGAGGGAGTTCCGGAAGAAGTTCAAGGTGGGACATGCCAGCCCTGACCTCAAAAGGCAGCAATGGTGGGGTGTCCAAGGCACCCTAACATACCCCCCTCTACTCCCCGCTACCCTAGTTTGAAGGGGAGATTGTGATCCACACAAAGATGATGATCGATCCCAACGCTAAGACCCGCCGTGGGGGTGGCAAGCATCTGGGCATCCGGCGTGGGGAGATCCTGGAGGTCATTGAGTATACCAGCAAGGATGAGATGCTGTGCCGGGACCCCAAGGGCAAGTGTAAGTGCACAGCCCCAAGCCTGAGGGGCGGGGCATGCTCCCACCCCGGGAGGGACAGAGGACCCACCTGGCTGCTTCTTCCCTCTGCAGATGGCTACGTGCCCCGAACAGCGCTCCTGCCTCTGTGAGTGCCAGCCCTGTGTGTGTGTGTGTGCGCGCGCGCGCACAGGGGGCTGGGCACCCCTTGTTGACCCAACTGTGCTTGCTCCTCGCCAGGGAAACGGAGGTGTATGACGACGTCGACGTCGGCTTCTGGGGTATGTAGATGCTGAGGTCCAGCTGGAGGGGACCGCAGTGACTCCCAGGGGCTGCCCTCTGCTCCGGGAGAAGAATCCCACTGCCAGCAAGCCCTCTCCCCACAGATCCCCTGCAGAACCCAGCATTTCCTCGGGGACAGTGAGGCCGGCAGCCTGGCATACAGCTGCCCAGCACGAGGCTGCACAAACCTCTTCAAAGCAAGCCTTCTGTGTCTTTCTTCCCTTCTACTGGCAGTGCACACAGTGCTGTCTCTGGGGGGCCACCCCCCTACCAGCTCCTCTCAGCCTTTGGCTCCAAAAACAAGGAGAAGCTGGCTGCCTGATGGCGTTGGGGGCTGGGGCAGGGGCCCCAGCACACAGGATGGGTGGCAGTGAGCCCTTTAGGGCTGCCCACTTCTGCCCCAACTCTGAAGGAACCCAGGGACCTGGCTCAACCCGCATCTGATGGGCCCAGAGAAGCCCGAACAGCCTCCCTGCTCCTGTCTGCTGACAGGGGCACCACAGTGGAGATGGCCTGCCACAGGTGTCTGTGCCCTACAGAGGGAGTCCCCAGTGGGGACCAGATAGTGTCCATGTCCCCTGTCTTCAGTGGGGGAGAGCGTTGAGGTTCCCAGAGTGGCAGGGCCCTTGTCTCCCAGACCCAGGCCCACAAAGAAGCAGTGACAGAGGGAAAGGCCCCTAGTGTCAGGGAGGACTCCAGCTCCCCAACACATCTGCAAAAAGCAAGCACTTCAGGAACTGGTATTTATTATCAAAGTCATATTTGATGTCAACAAGATGCCACAACTACAAAAAAAATTGTGCACATTGCAATCTCAATGCAAACAGTCCAATGGAACCCCAGTCATTAAAAAAGTAATTCAAATTACCCCAAAAAAGCAACTGAATTTTTTAAACATCTTTATACATCCAGCAACAAATTAAAATGGTTAACAAGAAAAAATACAAATTTAGAGGTCTGGTATTGATGTTTAAAAAAGGCAACTGCTTAGGCGTTTCTATCAATCCGCACATCGATCTCCCGGCCGCTCAGCTTCACGCCGTTCATCATCCTGCAGGCGCGCTCGGCCACTTCCGGGGACTCAAACTTCACCACACCACAGCCTTTGGACTTCCCGTTCTCCATCTTGATGTCAGCATATAGTACGTGACCTGGCACGGGGAGGGGATGAGACCACGTCAAGCAGACCCAGGGCTCAGCTGACCTGGCTCCACTCAGCCTGCATCACCTGCTGACCTCCAGAGTCTCAAAGGCAAGCAGCCCCCGGCCATGGTGCCACCACTGCATCTCAGAGCTCCTGCCAACCCTCCCTACAGCCTCAGTGCTGCTCTCTCCAAAAAGGGCATGCAGGGCCAACTGTACAAGGAATTCTATGGGCTTCACTCTGCACACACCACCAGTCCACACCTCAAAACCACTACCCATGGCAGTGATGCGCCCGAGCACCCAGGCATGCATCAGGCACTGTGAGAGAAGCCTCAGGGAAAGGGCTGCTGAAGCCTCGACCTCCTCAAGCAGCTGTGCCCAGGGTATGGATGCCACCCAGGGCTCCTCACAGTGATGCTGTGAGGACCTCAGGCAAAGGCCACCAGAAACAGTCCTGCCACTGACTACACTGCCAGAGCCCCTGTCCAGAGGAGGGGATTGGGGATCAAGCCCTGGTTGGAGGGTGGGGCTGTCAATCTGGATGTCCTCAGGGTGAGGGAGGCTTGACCCACTAGACGTTTCCCACTACCTAGCATCCATGATGTAGAAGGGCAGGGCAGGGAGACGAAGGCCAAGCATGGAAGGCCTTGGGGCGGCGGCAGCATTACACTGTGGGAGCTCCACAGCCAGGAAGGGGCGGGGCTTGGGATAGGCACCATGGAGGGCAAGGAAAGAACTTTTGACCCCTAAGAGAATCTAAGAGGAGGTGCCTGGAGTGCCAGGAAACACCACCAGGGACCACCACTGTACCCCACACAAGCCACTGCGCCCGAGTGCTTTGTGCTGCAAGGACAGCAACTCTGTCTGGGGTGTCTGGTTTTGTATCTTAAAGCCACATGAGCTCAGGAAGGGGATACTGCCCGACTCATCTGTCAAAGGGGTCAGTCAGCACTACTTCCTCTCCTAGCTACAGAAGGAAAAGGGGAAACGAAAATATAGGCACAGAATGCCTGACACATACAGGGACCGACACCTGGCCAAGGTGCAGCAGAAACAGAACAATGGCAAGGCCACTGGGCCTCCAGGGCTGTAGGAGCCTGGGAAGGAAGCTCTGTGGCTGGGCCCATGACTCCCGCCAGCTGAGATACGAAGCACCCAAACAGCCTTTCCCAGACACTTACCACATTCGTTGAATTTGTCCTTTAGCATCTTCCATGTAAAATCAAATGGGAGCTGAGAGGAAAAAGGTAGACTGATGTACAACTCACCCTACCAAGCCCCAAGGCCTGCATGCACTCCCAGCAGCCCTGGCTAACATCTGTCTGGGGCAGCCCTGACACTCCTTGCTGTGGGCCTATCCTCAGCCTGCCCTCCAGTGTGTTCACATGGGGAGAAGGGACTTAGTGACAGGCACATTCTTTCAACCCCCATGCCAGGACTCAGGTGCTCACGCCAAGGGAGGGAAGGGGAGTCAGCTCAGTGCACTGCTTGGGGCGCACAGGGATCAGCTCCCCCTCCACCTGCCCCCCTTCCCTCTGCGTCCCCAGCAGAGGGCTAGGGAGCTACCACTGTCAGTCCCCCTAGCTCCTCCTCAGCCTGATGCTACCAAGGAGCTGCAGAAGAGCCACTTACATTTCTCACAAATATCTGGCAGGCCTTCCTGGCTACCCCAGGGGCATGGCCTCCAGCTCCACCGAAGGAACCTGCAAAGCTTCCTCCGAAGTTTCCACGTTCCATCTCAATGGCACGGTCAAAGCTGGCACCACCGCCACCACCCATGGCCAGGCCCATGCGCTCGATGCCGGCACCCAGGGCTGGGCCCATGGCAGGACCCATGCGCTCCAGGCTGTTGGCGCCCATCCGCTCGAGGCCCATGCGCTCCAGGCTGTTGGCGCCCATCCGCTCGAGGCCCATGCGCTCCAGATTGTTGGCTCCCATCCGCTCCAGGCCAGTGGCCATGCGATCCATTACGGGACCCATGCGCTCCAGGCCGGCCCCCATGCCTGCTGGCACCATGCGCTCCATGCTCAGGCCCATGCGCTCGATGGCAGGGCCCATGCGCTCGACGCCAGAGCCCATGCGCTCAATGGTTTGGCCCACACGGTCGATGGGTGCGGCCATGCGCTCTAGGCCGAAGCCCATGCCGGCACCCATGCGGTCGACTCCAGAGCCGATCCGCTCCATGGTCTGGCCCATTCGCTCAATGCTGGACGCCATGTGGTCGAGGCCCAAAGGGCCCATGCGCTCGATGCCGGAGCCCATGCGCTCCACAGAGCCCATGCGGTCCATGACCAGGCCCATGCGCTCGATCTCAGAGCCCACTCGATCCATGCCATGGCCCAGGCCTGTGCCCATGCGCTCCATGCCGGCACCCCCAATGCGGTCAATGCCAGGGCCCATCCTCTCAATCCCAGGGACGCTGCCTCCACCTCCACCTGGAAGAGGCACAACAAAACATGGAAGGATGTCAGAATATGTGTGTGTACACGCATGTGCACACTACTGTGCCTAGGCACTTCTGTTCACAAACCCAACCATGCTATCAAGAACTCAGCCTACAGAAACTGGAAACTTCCCTCACATGCTGACAAAAGCTAACAAAATTAAAATGGTGTCACGGCTTAAGAGCAAACACTGGGGCTGGGGATTTAGCTCAGCGGCATAAGCGCCTGCCTTGCAAGCAGGCAGTTGAGTTTAATCCCTGGTACCGATGAAAAGGAAAAAGACAAAAAAAAAAAAAAAAAAAAAAAAGCAAACACTGTCTGAGGCCTCATGTACTCAGAGCAGCGCTTGCAAAGGCCTATAGATTTCAGGGCCACAGCAGCCAACCTGCTGTCAGGGGCAAGACCTCGCTGGAGGAGCGTTTCCTGACTATCACAATATAAGCAGCTCTCTCCATCCAGATCCTTCACCATACCTTTGGGACTTGAAACTTAGTAACCCTTTTGAAGAAGATGACTGGAATAAAAAAAAAAAAAAAAAAAAGAAAGAAAGAAAGAAACTTAGTAACCCGGACTAAACTACAAGCCCAATCAGCCTCTCTCCTGTGTCAGGTGCTGTATCTCAGTGATAAGGACACAGGAAGACAATTCAAGAGTCACTCAACAGCTTTTCTCCTTTCTTGACGTGTTCCTCTCCAGGTCCTCTGGGTAGCCAGTCTGGTGGCCTTTCCTTGGCAACTTACAGGGCATCAAGAAGAGACTGCACAGCCATGCAGTCAAGCAAAGATAAAAGAAATTAAATGCAAACACTGATACAGATCCTGCATACGAAGGCATGCAGCGGGCACCCCCTGCGGCCTTACTCTGTCTGCAAATTGGACTTGTGTCTAGGTTGCCAGACTGGGGAGAAGATGCTGACAACCTGCAAGGTGGACTCGGGATGGCCCGGGGGAGCCAGCAGTTAACAATGCCTCTGCCTGTGTCGCCTGCAATTCTGCACAGGGAGGGTCCAGCCCTCAACATGAGTGTTGTCCAGGCCACAGCGGATCCACTACTGAGCCAGGCAGCACAGTCCTCGATGCCAATTCAGGACAAGCAATCTTGGCAGTTTCCATAGCTAAAGCTATGGCCTGACGTAAGGCACTCCCACCTTGTGCCCATTTCCTTAGCTGGACAGTGGCATGGACTCAAGGGGCCAAAAAGCAGCACAACTTAAGAACATCACATTTTGAGCAGAAATGGCTCAGAAACTGCCTAGCTTCCTCATATTACAAGACCAAAAGGTGGCTGCCTGGCAGCAGCAGGAATGAGGCCAGCATCCAACCCAGCAGCAGCAGCAGAGAGAGTACCCAGAGGAGATCTGCAGCCAGGCCCCACCAAAATGCCTCACAAGCTGGGACACCAGACAATAACCAGGCCTTTAGAGCCCTGCCAACGAAAAAATGGGATACCAATGCAGTCAGCTTGAAGTGCCTCTCTAAGTGTGGGCTCATGGAGGGTGCATTTACGTACTTACAACCAGGTGGTGAGCCCTATAGTGACAGCTGCTTTCTGCAGCATTTTCAGAATTTTTGTAATGAGCACATGTGCACATTTTATTACTGTATTTATTAGCACAAATTAGTTGGACAAAATGGTGGGTTTCCTTGTGACATCTCTATCCACGCATATACCGTCCTACAGTCACTTTCGCCTCCCTCTCTCCTTCACTCACCCTCATCCTGCCCCTCCCCATCCCACTGCAGTTTTTCCTATATAAGCAAATTTTAGTAAACATCTGCTATGTGTTAGATAGTATGCTTTCCAGTCAGGGGAACTGAGCATTTGTTTACTTTGGAGATTTTAATTCTAGAGTACAGAAAATGAGGAAGTCCCAGCCACAGAATACTGCGGTAATGGCAATCGCTGGCTGAATGTCAATACCCTTTTAGTGCGCTGGCTCATTTAGCCTTCACGATGACCTCCCCAGTAGGCACTACTATACCCCAGTTACAGGCCAGTAGTATAGAAACAGAGAGCTTCGGTACCTTGCCACGGGTCCCACAGCCAGGAGGCAGAGCTGGATCCCACCCCAGGCAGCTTATTAAGAACCATACTATCACTCTTAAGTTTGCTCCATGTTCCCTTTTCCCCATGATGACACCCTGTGTTTAAAAATCAAAACATCAAACTAAGCGTTTCCTACCTCCTCCTTGCTTTGCAATGATCTCTCCTCTCTTCAGTGCATTACTTAGGATTTCTATGGAAATCAGGAAGAAAAAAATAATTAGCCAAACTTTTCCATGGCAAT